CGTGACAAATGAACTGTGGGCTTGAGTCCAATCACTTTTAGGAGCTACACTTTTAATGTTCATGCCCTTTATCAACCCATTCCTCCACCTCCTAGGTCAAACAGCACATTATTACTCTGCATGAAATGAAATTGAAGTCATGCTGGGAAATAACTCATTCTGCTTTAATAACTGTTAGTTGGATGATGGAAGCTCAGGCTGAAACCTAAAACCTCTTTCAGGACCACCTAAGACTACAGATTTACAAATGCCTTAATGCATAGGTAATATACAAGTGAATTACTCAGTTAATGTGATTTGTTGCTGAAGGCCTCTCTTGGGCGACAGTGGCGTAATTAAACATGGCACTTCTCAAATAGAAAAAGGTAGGAGGATTAAGAGCAGATGTTAAATGTCAACATGTATCTTCCCTAACATCCATTACCCCTCAAGACCATTCCGTTTTAAAAAATTGCATCTTACAATGGTAAACAAGGAATGCAATGTTAACACTTTGGTCAAAAAATGTGAGCTTCTGTTCTACAGTTAATGATAAATAAAAGAGCTGTAAAAGACAATTACTAGTCATCAATTAAAAATGTTTAAATGTTTAAGAATAAATTCACTGTCAGATTCCAAGTGCATCAAGAAAGTGCAAGCATTTTGCAGCTAGAGATAAGAAAATGCAAATGCTTTCTTTCTAGACATATTGCAATTAAAAGTGCTGCATTATGATAGTACAATATATAAAACATAAATTTCCTGCTGACAAGATTTCTACTTTGATTCTTAGTTTACCATAACATAACAAAAACACAGTTTACTTGCATTGCCAGAGGCCTGTTGCACAAAACAAACAAACTTTAGATTAAAGAGTAATTTCAAGTTGACAAAACCAAACAAATCCAAGCTGGTTAAGACCAGGTTAAGTGGTTTTACAATGCTTGATATAAACTCTGGGTTTATCCAAGAGTTTGAGATCAACTCTGAACTAAATGCCCATAAAAGTGACACGTGCAGCAACACTTCTCACTTCATTTCTTACAGGAAATTTGAATTGAAAGCTATTACCATTATTACTTACCTATTTTAGTTTAGTTTACTTAACTATAAGTTCCAAATATTATCTTAGCATGAATAATTGTAGTTGATATAATAACTTGTTTGACAATATGGCTTTCATTTGCAGCAAAAAAGACACAGGGGAACTAAGAGGTGCTTTAATGCATCAGATATGTCACTTTTCTAACTGCTGATTGGTCCAGTTTAGGTTTGCAAACTCAAAGGAGGTTTGCTGTGTGGCATAAACCATGGTAACAAAAAACCCAATCAAAACCAATCCACCTTCCTAAGCCCGAAAACTCAAAAATTGCTCAAACTAAACATAAACTTACCAGGAAAAAAATATTTTTTTTCTTTGTGCAACAGACCTCGGGTCTTGGATTGCATGTAAAAAGGGACAACAGGTTATTTTAATAAGCTGATTTTTGTGAGTTAGCAATCCAATCCTGGCCCAGTTAGTCTTTGGGCCCTATTATACACCTGGCACAATGCGACGCAAGGCACGACACAATTGTTGTTTGCTAGTTCAGCTTGGCGCAAGAGTGGTTTTGACGTTTTGCGCCACACTCTATAAAAAGCAAATGCATTTGCGCTCATTTGTGCGCCCATAGGCGTTCTGGTCTAAAGAAGGAGGTGTGTTGAGGCGCTTTGCTGGCGCGTTGCTATTTTGAGGAACTTAAATAGACTGTTCAATAGACCAGATCAAAGCTGGTCTTAAGTCCAGCGCAGAGCGCGTTAGTTGTGAGCCTCGCTTACACACTGCTTAATACACACAAGATGTAGAGCAATGCGCAAATATCTTTACATATGAAAAAGAATTAAAGGATTAAAATATTACAAAGAAATATTATTTTCTAGCCTACATATATATAAAAACCATACTTTCATGCCTTCACCCCCTCGGGGGGCTTTTTCAGTTTATTCATAACATTATGCTTTTGTATAATGTTATTATTATTAGCAGTATTATTTATTATATGCATATTTATATTTTTTATTAAAAACAAGCTTAGATTTGACCACCTGTCAGGTTTTAGACCATATGGGGCACAGCATGTGTATTTGTATATAATTCCCTTTTTTGATCTCACTTCATTATTATTGTTCATTTATTCGTTTGCTGGAAATTAGAACTGAATTTAGAATTAGTTTTGAAACAAATCTTTACGCTTAACAAACAAAATTAATTATTTATAGGCTAATTGATGTGTGTGCGTACAACACGTTTCCCTATCCATAAGCTTGAAAGTGAAAGTAAATAATGAGGAGGCTCCTCTCTCATTCTCTCCTGTAGATGCTCTGTTTAACTGTTTTCTTACTAGTGAAGCGTTCAGTTTTTCCACTTACAAAATCCATCATGTAAATAGCAAATGCGCTATGGCGCGACGCAACTGACTCCTAAAGGGAATTGGAGATAAGACTCTGTTTGGTTTATTTTCAAAACACTCCTATAACTCATTAAGAGAATAAGCTCAACCCTGTTAGACCATGCGCCACGGCGCAACGCGGATTTTTCCATCCTTAAAATAGCAAAAGTGGATTCAGACACGTACTTAATGCTTTTGTGCCCTGCGCTTTGGACTTTGCGCATGGATCTTCAAAATAGAGTCCTTTATCTTAGCGAACTGTAAACATCCACCACAACGGAGATCCAGGTAATCTACAATGGTTTACTACAATTTATTGAAGCTACAAAGCAAAACCTAGCCCAAAAGCCCTGTGTATCTGCTCGTGAAGTCGTGACCTATGGAATACTGTTTCTGGGTCCAAGCCGCTACTCTTTTGAATTGAGAAATTATTTGTTTATGAACACTTTTTAGTCCTATCACACATTAAAATAAATTTTGTATAAAATCATAGTGTGCACAGTGTATCAGTCTCTGGACTCGCTGCATCACAAACACCAATATTTTTTTAAATATCACTTTCTGGACATCGGATATTAGACATGGATATATAAATTGTGATTGTGATATTTGAAAGTACTGCATCTCTTTGTAAATGTTTATTGTTACCATTTATTGAGTCTCCCCATACAGTTTGATAGAGCGCTTGGACCTGGAGGCTGCTTTATGTGACATCACATTTAAGAAGCGGATATTATGCAGACATTTTTTTTTTCACATTTTATAAAATTTTTTACAAAATCGTCATATTAATTTGTGTAACACGTTTTACCATACAGAATGTATCAAAAAAGCTTCACAGAGATAAAATATTGCTAAATAATCATTTATAAGTTGCAGTGGGTAGCCCAATCGCCTCCCAGCAAGAAGGTCGCTAGGTGGGTCAGTTGGAATTTCTGTGTGGAGTTTGCAAGTTCTCGCCGTGTTCGTGTGAGTTTCCTCCGGGTGCTCCAGTTTCCCCAAAGCCCAAAGACATGCGCTATAGGTGAATTGGGTAAACTTAATTGTCCGTAGTGTATGTGTGTTAATGAGTGTGTATGGATGTTTCCCAATGATGGGTTGCAGCTGGAAGGGCATCCGCAGTTCATTCCACTGTGGTTACTCCAGATTAATAAAGGGAGTGAGCCGAAACGAAAATTAAAGAATAAATGAAGTTACAGTGCACTCCAAAATGCTAGTTGTTTTAACCCAAAGTTTGGCAAAAATTAACAAACTCAATGGTTGGGTTAAAATTGAAATGATGATTGAACTCTGAACTCAATGTTGGGTTGAAACAACCCAGTATTTTTTGTTTGATGTGATAATAGTTCTGTTCAGCAAAAGGCAGTTCTATAAAAGATATCAATACCATTTCGAATATCAAGTCAGATTAATGTTAATTCAGTTCAACTCAACATCATCATCAATGCTGATAGATGGAATTTAAATATGTGCCAACTCTTGTTCATTTTCTCTCGTAGCCAAAACCCAGTATGCCATTTTAAGCTGCTGATTGTTGTATTCCTATTTATATTTTATTTACTATGTATAGTAAGATATGAGCAGGCACTAAGGTCCACTATATTTCAAGGTCAACTTTCTGATCTCAATCCAGTTTTCGGGTCAAAAGCGTCATGATGAAAACAATATGACATGTACTTTTGTACTCAGTTTGATCTAAAAGCAAAGCAAAGACAGAGACTCCATATCTGTACACTAAAACATCCGCCAGACAAATGATGGCTAATGATAACAGCACATGTTTGGAGGGGAAAATAACTGCGATGGAGACCAGGGCATGACCTTGAGTAACTGATAATCAGCTTTCCCGATTAAAAGTTAAATCCACCAATTCACCTTTAAAACACTGAAAACACGTCAAAGCTGATATGTGGAGAACAATGAAACAGAGACTCTAAGGCCGTACTTACAGTATGTACAGTTGCCTCGAACCGGGCCAAAGCACGCTTGTCCCCCCTACCGTCTTCCCAGACGGCCCGCACTCACATTACAATCGGGCCTTGGCACGCTTACGTCATCGATGCTGCTGTTCAGTAAACTCGCTCTCACGCAGCACAGAGATTTCTCTAGTTATACCGTTTAAGTCGTTTGATATGCATTGACATGCAGTCAAATATTTCGCCAAACAGTCCTTAGGGATGCGGTGAAACGCAGTCAGATATTTTGCCGAACAGATCCGCCACTTTTAGTGCTCATAAACAATCATAAAGCCCTCGTGCTGCAGGAATGAGGAGGTTTGCTGAAGGTGCGCAGCTGTCATGCAGTGAGGGGTTTGCGTATTTAATAAACTACGGCAGTTTGCCTTCACTGATCAGTAAGATTGATTAATAAAACCATATGAAACAATCCCTTAAAAGTCACGTCTCGCTTTCAGCCCAAGTGAACCGCGCTCAGGCCCACCTCTTCCAACCGGGCCAGGGCCGGCCAAGTGAACCGTGCTTGAGCCCGATTCAGCGCACTCACTTCTCAAACGACCTGGGAAACAGGCTCGGGCATGGTACAGATAGTGTGAGTAGATAAGCAGAAACTTATCAGACAATGCAATACACTTACCAAACCTTTTGTAGCCAAATGACTGCACTTCTTCTTCATCATTGAAGTCGTCTGCAAAAGTGACAAATGACAATGATGTTAGTGTAGAAAATGCTGCGTAAATGATGTCCTTATATAATGTATGACTTCAAGACAATATTCTTTATTCCTCCACTCCTCAGTCTCCAGTCTGACACTATGATCAATTCATTCGACTTTGCTGAATTAAAGTAATAATTTCTTTCAAATAAAAGTATATCCCTAATTTTAAACGGTTTTCTTCTGTATAAAACTTCTTATACATTTTTAATTGTCCATTTAGATTATTTTTTTACTTTAATTAAATAAAAAAGCCATCTTTTCAGACATATTTAGATTCATCAATGCCAGTGTTTAAAATAAACGGTTTAAATGACAATAGTTGAAACCCATGCCTAATAAATCAAGTAAATCCAGAGAAAGCAAGCATTTTCATGTGCTCTCGCATAAATTTTTTCCATAACTGTGTAATTAGTGTATTATTTCAATGAAAGACACAGACAGAAAGATCTGAAACATAATAACACGTTTCCCTTAAAGCAAGGCCAATATATTATACCAAGACAGACAAACTAAACAAACAAACATGAGCATTTGGAACTGATAAACCAGCATGTGATATGGATCTGACTGCTGAAAAAACAGCAGCAAAGATGGCCCATTCATGAGTTAACCAAACCATACCATCCTCAACTTCCTCTTCCTGTCTGCCTAACAGCCCTCTCTCATGTGGCTACAATGCTCCTGGGAAAGGAGAGGGGTGACTCCAGGCGGTTTTATGTGTCATTGTCCAAAGGCCAGAGAAAATAAAGGAAGAACATGTGTTTCTGTAGTTGAAGCCCAGTCTCTCCCCCTCAATCTGATACTAAAGTCTGAACCGCAGGTGGGAGGAGGAACAGTCCGTCAAAAACCCCCACTGAGCGTGACCTCAAACTGGACACACACACAAACCTCAGAGTGGAAAAATGGGGGACAAACAGAGCAATGTAGACTAAAGCTGACAGCTATTTCAGTCTTTTTTGCTGAAAATAAAAACAACACTCTGGGAAACGCACAAGAACAAAGCTCCCACATACCCCAAAAACACTACATTTTTACAACACCACAGCCTGAAATATGACTTTCCAGAGAATTATTGCTTGAAATGAAGCCTTTAAGGTTAAATATGTTGTCTATTGAGGAGCATCAGTGAGGAGCGCGGATGAGAGAGGCTCAGGGGAACAGTAATTCACAGTGTGTGGTCTGAACAGCCTTATTAGGTTATTTCCATCTGCAGTTTTGCTCTGTTTACTAATCGTTAATATGTTAATGCCTTCAATAGATTTACTGGTAAATAAACATCCATGCAACCAAAAGAAAAATAATGAAGCAGAAATATTGAATTTACTTTTTATGTTTGGCCAAAATCCAGGCAAGGAGAACAGTTTGTCACTTTTTATTTTTATAAAATGTATATTTTATTTTTATTAAGTGTTGACAATTGTTTAATCATTTTGTGGAAACTACAATCCTTCTGCAAATCTTTGTTGAAATATACACACAAACCCTGTGGATATAAGTATTGAACACGTCACTAATTTTCTTAGAAAACATATTTCTAAAGGTGCCACTGACTTAAAAATTCCCCTGCATGTTGGTTATAACCAAATAAAACCATAAACCCAAAGAAAACAAATCTAATTACTTTACATATTAGGTTATGTGTAATAAAATGAAACAACACAGGGTAAAAGTATTGAACACATGAAGAAAGGGAGGTGTAGAAAGGCAGTGAAAGCCCAGACAGCAGCTGAAATCTCTCAGTAGTTCTTCAGGACTTCTCTGCCCTTTGTCATTGAAAACGAATATTAGCTTCTTCAGTCCAACATCTTTTAGCAAGACAATGATCCAAAACACAGCCAAGGAAATGCGTTCAGAGAAAGAAAATTAGGCTGTAGAATGGCACAGCCAATCACCTGACTTAAATCAGATTTGATAGACGAGACCCATTATATTGAAGTCTGTGAAAAACTTACACCTGAGCAATACATGTGACTTCATTCTTCATACGAGAGGCAACTTTAAGATGCCATCACAAAAAAAGCCTATTATATAAAGTAAATACATTTCAGTAGTTCAGTATTTCCTCCTTGTGTCATTCCATTGTTATTACACACAACCCATTTTTATGTTTGTTTTGTTTTTGTTTGTATCCCCAGGAATGTTAAATTTCCTCCACTGTATTTGTCTTTACTGACCAAGATATATGCTAACCCCAAACGTTTGCTTAGTTAAATAATCATAAATGTGATAATGCCTTGAACTGATTGGTAAGTTAAATTATCATTATTAATAACCATAAATTTTATTAATTATTTTCTCATTTATTTTTCATTTTGTCAAAATCTAGACAAATCACAGGAAAACTGTCAGTCAGTATTATGAGCTCAGTTGTTCTGCTTGATTTCATATTTATTTTCTTTTGACCTATATAAATTCTCTTTTGAAAAATATTTAGTTTTGTACAATTATTCAAGTGTTTACTGTTACTTTTGATTATCAAGTTAATATTTCCTTTCTAACAAAAAGTAATCATTTCTTTAAAAACATTTAATAAGCCAAACTTTTGCACTGTTCACTAATCATCATACCTTAACATGACTTACAGGTTTTTATTTTTAAAAAATGAAAACAGCCAAAAACAGCTCATTTGTTTGAAGGCATCAATTTTTACACAATTAGAGGTGATTTGTTAAAGTAATTTTAAATTGCTCTGTCATACATTTATTTAATTAAAACTAGACATCTACTCAGGCAAGATTTTAAAGGTCCCCATAAAAATGAGAGCGCTTTGTAACAATGTCACTTCCACTAGATGGCACTATTTAGATTAAACAAGAGATCAACTTTTACATGTTGCATAACTCTTCAGGCACAAAAAAGTAATGTGAAGGCTTGGTGTTTGTCAGAACATCTGGCCGTTGGACATGCAAACTGACTCAGGATGGAGAAATGTGGGGGCTGTTTTTACTGTAAGAAGCTCTCAAAATGGAAAACATCTTGGACCTCAGAAAACACAAGTTTCAACAACCTCAAAAAGTACTGAGAGGCTTTTCATTTTAATGACATAATCCTGATCCTTTACTTACCATAGCTCGACTTACTGTACCTTGGATTTAGGGGAATGTGTCACAAAGTTGAACTCAGCCCTTTTTTTAATCATTCATCCCAATGGTCTACAATTAAGCCAGACCCCATGAAAGTTTTTTTTTTTTTTTGCCACTATACTGACTAACAATGTTACTATTTATTTTAGTATACTTTTGATCTCATTCACTGACTAAAATACAGCTGTATTTAAAGTACACTTTTAGCCATCTAACAGTGCTTGTCAATGTCTAATTCAAGTTTGCAGTTCATCAAAGCAGGACACAAATTCAACCACAAAGCATTGGCTTATTGTTAAAACAGAGGTAGGATTGACATTTATATATTTCAACTGTTTACAACAGAAATGCCAACCGATTGATGAAAATATCTAGTTATGCAAACTATGCACTTTGTCCCTGAATTTCACAGTTCTAAACTGTTAATTAAAATGAATTAAAAGTTTAAATGGCACCATATTTTATACAGCAATAAATCAAAGCTGATATGCAAATTTGTGGATATTTCAAAGTATTATTCACAAAAGATTACTTTGCCAACGAGAATTACACCAAAAAATGTGCTTTAAAATACAGTACCACTACTATAAAATACTATTCTGATCAAGATACAGCCTTGATTGACACAGTGATCATGTGATCTTAATATCTTTGAGAATGGACCCACTTCATGTGTAATCATAAAAACTCTTTTGATACATAATATTTTAATATTTACATCATATAAGAATTAAGATTTTGGAAATAAATGTTAATTTCAAGTGTAAATTACAGAAGAAGATATTGTGATGGATTTGGTAACACAACAGTTGAATACGTTGCTCAGTGGGGACCATCAGCTGCTTGGTTAGAAACACTCTTCAAAATATCTTCTTTTGTGTAGCAGAATAAATAACAAGCAAACGCTTGAAGCAGGTTGTGTCAACCGTGGGTATGCTTTGGTGAACTAGTCCTTTAATTAGCCTAGTCTATGGCAAAAGTAATAACAAAAGCAAGTAAAAATACCAAAAGTGCACCTTTAATTATAAACAATGAGTGTAAAGGATTAACCCAACATGTTAAACTCATACAATCTGAATAGAAACTTTGCAGAGGTTATTCAACTCTTGATGAAAAAAAGCTTCTTCACACTCTGCCAGATGTTTCATTTGAAACGTGGCTACGCATTTTCTTTTCTTTTTTTTTTCAAGATGAAGCAAGTCACGGAAGATCCCACACAATAGCCAGGTCATCAACACAAGGCTGTGCGTGTAGATCCCGCTATTCAGCTGTCCTGTGGCAGTTCAGCCAAACAAGCCGCCAACCTTACAAACCACGAGCAGTTAATCGCAACCAGATGTTTCGTGCATTGGAGTAACACACATTCCTCTCACAAGAGAAAGAAAAGCAGAAAACTGAAGAGAGAAACGCGTGGATAGACTCCAGAGACCTGTCTTAAAAAGACATCGCTAAAATGTAGAAACGCATCTTACCCTTCATCGTGGTCAAACTGAGGTGCACCGTTCCGTCACGAGCCAAACCTTCACATCAATCTCATGTCAACGCGCAGACCCAAGAATAAGCGCTGAACTTTCACTAATATTCCACCTGAAACATGCGTAGGGTCTTTTCAATCCCTATGACTGGTGCTTAGCTTGTAAAACTACAGGAACAATTCGCGAACAATGTTCAACAAACTTCTGCTCAGTGCGCACACTTTTTCTCTCCCTCCATGAGAGCGTGTTCACGATGGAAATCCACTTGAGGTGAATGAGGATGCGTCCTCTTCTGCCTGCTGGCTGCAACCCGAGAACCAGAGAGAAGCTGGCAGTCCGCAGGGTGTCTGTTAGTTCACTTGTTTTCTTCTTGGGCTGAATATCTTAAAGAAAAACCAGGTGAAAGCAGCAGCAGCCGCAGCACCACAGTGCTTTACTGAAGCTCTGAACGCGCTGCTCCGCATCTGGAGTTAAACTTCCTCTTGGCTCATGGGAGGGTCTAACACGTTGCATGAGTTAGTTATTGTTGCTCTTAGAATACTGTGAAATCTTAACCTGTAATAAGAAACAGTGCAGAAAACATTATGTTTGTGTTTGCTCAAAGCTCAGTACTTAAAATGTCTTAAATATGGGCCAACTTTACACTGATATGATGGCTTAGCATGAGTTAAGATACTATGACATTTAAGGTTTTGAGTATAGACCAGGGTTTCTATGGGTTTCATCAAGTCAAGTCAAATTTAAGACTTTTTAAGACCATTATGAATTAAATTTCAGACTTGCACAAGGCTTAATGTTAAGATTTTTTTTCCAATGGCCCAGTTAAAACAAACCATTAAAAACAAGTGGTTGTAAAAAAGATAATTAAACCGTTAATAAGTAGAGTTAATGAATAATCTGTTTAAGACCTGTTTAAAATGATTTAAGTCCTACAACATAATATTTCAGTGAATTTAGGACTTTTTAATATTGTTTTTGAAATTCAAGACATTTGAGACATTTTAAAACCCTGTAGATACCCTGATAGACCTTCCTTTCAGAGTACAAGGAAAATTAACGACTTAATGCATTAGAACTCTGGTAACACTTTTAGACTATTCTAAAAAACAGTCTGTACACTATTATAATAAGAATGCTGTATGAAGACTATAGTTTTATATCCGTAGTATATAGGAAGGATTTAAGACAAGCAGGTAAAACCTAGTAGTGTGAAGACGTGGCAGATATTTAAAATGATAATTTTATTTATTTATTTATTTTTTTTTTTTGTGGCTGCATCATGATACCCAAATATATATGGCTGACAAGATTTTATTAAAATTTATTAAACTGGATAAATCAAATTAAAGCTGTATGTTTCAACAAATAAAGCTGCACATTTATTTATTCATTGCTTGAAAAGGGTTTCATCTCTGTCTGAGCCATACACTCTAAAATGCTGTGATTGTTTCAGCCCAAAGATAAATAAAAGTATGAACAAACCCAACATTTAGGTTTAATCTTTCCTTTGCATACTGAATATTTGTAATGGTTTTGTCTTTTAATGCATTAAACACTTGAGCGAAATTGTATCTTTTAGTAGAAAACAATGTCACAGTTTATGTTGTCACAGTGGAGCTTGTCATTAAAGATTAAAAAATAAAACTTCACTGTAAAAATGCTGTGTTCTACATAATTCCTTGATGTCGTCCCAAAGAAAAAATGTAAATTTAATTATTTTATATAAATTTAAGTGGATTGAACATAAAACAATTAAGATGTTCCAAAAACATAAAAATATGTTGTTTCCACTCATTTTAATTCAGTAGTTTAAACAAGCAGCAAAAGTATTTTATTTCAGTGTTGCACTGGCCACAGCTATAGTGAAATGTGATGTTTTGTTTATCTCTATATCTTCATTTCTTTTATTTCATCACTTATACGAGAATGCAGCCCTGGTATGTATAAAGCATTGTTTTGAACTGCAGACTTTTGTTTTTTTGTAATTATTAGCTAAACATTTGTAAGTACAGGCTATTTTATTGCAGATATGTTACACTGAATGATGATCAAGCATTATTTTGTCTTTTTTCACAAATGTTACTTGAAATATTAAAGACATGTTACTTGCATAGACCTCAAATATAAAATCACTTTTGGCAATACTCCATGTGCATTACCTGACAAATGTCTTGTCACCTATCTGGGTTTTAGGAACAACATGGTAACAAGGCATAGGAAGATAATTAATGCAGTACAAAGAGAGTGAATATTGTGTATGACTCATGAGCATGGAGGACTGCATCCATATATCTCTACAATGACTCAGATAACTTATTACTAAAGTCATCTGGAAAGACAAAGAAAGTGTTCTTGCAGGACTCCCAGAGTTCATCAAGATTCTTTGGATTCATCTTCAATGCCTCCTCCATCTTACACCAGACATGCTCAATAATGTTCATGTCTGGTGACTGGGCTGGCCAATCCTGGAGCACCTTGACCTTCATTGCTTTTTTAGAAACTTTGATGTGGAGGCTGACGTATGAGAAGAAGTGCTATCCTGGTGAAGAATTTGCCCTCTCTTGTGGGTTTCAATTGGCCTTCTGCAGTATTTGTGATGAGGATGCAGTTAAACAGATGATTCATCAGAAAAATCTACCTTCTGCCACTTTTCTTGATCAACTAGAAGTCAAGTTATTTCTTTTGCTCTTACAACTGTGATTGACGACAAGACTTTTGTCAGGTAGTGTACATGTTTCATGGAAAGTGTTATTAAATATGGTTCTTAAACATGTAAAGTGTGTGCTAACAATTATCTAGGTATGTCAGTATTTCGTCTCTGTTCAAAGGCAGCCAAGTGAAAAGTCCTTTGTGTTGTTGATTTTCGCTCAAAATTGCTTGCACAATCCTTCCATTGCTTTCAGCTTTATTAAGCACAAGGCCCATTTTGTTCTTTCCTTGCATTTCTCTCTAAATCCCTTTGCCACAGGGATCCATGATTAATTATTTTATATCCTGCTGGACTGTTCAGAATGGTGTGATCCGTTGCACCACACAAGTTTAGCACCGCACTGACCTCAAGTGTTTTTCTAATTTAACAAGGCTAAGCACTAACATACAAAAAGCAACTCCAATGTATTAAAGCTGCACTGCTGTGCCCTAAACCGATTTTATGTGCCCCCTCAAGTATCATGAAGCTTTTGTGCCAGAGCAGGTGCCTTATCCAGTTTTATTTGACAATTTACATGTAAACTCCTAAAGACGTAATCATAGTTTCCAGTTGCTACAGTAATAGAACTTAAACAATCTGATCCCAAAAGCTTCAGATTGATGTTGGACCCTAAAGTTGATAAGATATTGAATTTTAGTTGCAAATAAAAACTGGCTTACTAAACCTAATTAGTATATTTTTTAGAAGTTTGAAAGTTTCATCGTTTCCCAGTTCTGGGTTGCAGCTGGAAGGACATCCGCTACAAAAAAACATATGCCGGAATCATTACTTGAAAAAAAAAGAACATTCAAACTAAGAGGGGTTACACTCGCTGCAGATGTTGGGAAATTCTTCAAGTGCCAATAGAAAGCGTCAGCCAATCAGATCGTTTTATGCAAATACCCCAGCTCAGACAGTAGCCGATTGCGGACTTACTCTATTGGCTATGATGATTGCGTCAGCCCCAACTTCAGACACATCTTCGGTCAAGCATTGATGCTGAAGCCCCGTGTGAATGCATGGTGAAAGTTTTATCGTTAGTCTGACTTTGAGTGACATGAAGCTTTTATTCCAGTGCAGGTGCCTTATCCAGTTTTATTTGACAATTCTCTTTTAAACTCTTAAAATACCCATAGTTTAAAGTTGTTGATGTCAGAAATCAATGTCAGACTGAGGTCACAAATGTCAAGCTGATGTCAAATCCCAGTGTCAGAGTAACATCATAAACCAACATCAGGCAGACTTAAAAACCCAATATCAAACTGACACTACAATCATCAGGCTGACTCCAGAACCCAACATGAGACTGACTCCAGAACCTAACATCATACTGACTAAACCAAACATCAGACTGACATCAAAAACCAATATCAGGTTAACCCAACGTTAGCCTGCTGCAGTAAGCCAGGGTGGATCTAGAAACCCATGGTAGACTTCCGTCTTCAGGTAGCTGGTAGACTGACTGAAGACTCCACAAGGAAAGATTCCACTCTACAGGTAAGATTCCACAAAGATTCATAGCAAGCAACTCTTAATACATATGGGACAAGACAGCACTGGGCTGGACTGGTCAATAGTGTGAAGCTGAGAAACATGTCTAGAAGGTAACATGAACAGCAACAACAAACTGGAAAGAAAGAAAACTTAAGACAGGGGAGATAAAGGGGTCGATACTGTTCTTCTACAAACCATAGCGGGGTTTCTGCAGGTTTCATCAAGTCTAATTTAAGACATTTAAGACTCTTTTAAGACCATTATGAATATTTTTTTTTTACTTATTCAGGGTTAAAGACTAGGATTTTTTTCTAATGGCCTGGTATTATTATTTGTTTTTCCCCCGATTAGGGAATTTAATAAGGTGAAATTGCTGTAAAAGTATCTAACAGCTGTTGTGAATTGTGTCTCTTTGCAATATAAAACTTAATATAAAACAATATAAAAAGATGTCAGCTTGATTGAGTAGCTTTACCTGAACAAAGCAAAATTAAGACCTGTTTAAACTTAAGACATTTTCCCTTAAGAGCTTTTACCAAAATATCATTTGCTAAAGCAATATAAATGAACCAAAATGATTCTGGAAAGGTCTTATAGTATTTAAAGTCAATCCAATGTTAACATACAATAATTTTAGAGAAGAAACTGGTAATTGAAACTGGAACTGGTAAACTGGTAAAATTTTTGGTTCTTCCTAACACTTTTAAGAGTGTGTGATAGAGTTTAGCTGTTTTTTTTTTTTTTTTGCATGTTCTGTCATTCCTTATTCCTTGATTTGGAATTTTCTGTGTTCATAAAGCCACAATTCATCTTTGCTGTGCCAGCCACCAGGTCTTTGGCACTGGATGAGCATGACAGGTCCAGATAGGTTTATTAGAAACAGGTGCATTTAGACTTAGCAGAGATGGACATACCAGTGGCCCATATTGCTGGTTCTCATTAGACGTTTGAAAATACTATTTTCAGGGTCACAAGCCCTGAAGAGAGGGCACTTTTACAAGGACATGGTGCGCTAATGAGAAACGTTAGGAGAATGTGGGCCTACACTATGTCTTTGTTGCCAGTTCCTCCTCTGTTATGTACACCCAACTAACAAGACCTTTTTAAACCTCAAGATACAGAAGAAAAACTTTTTTGACTTTCTCATGTACTTTGCCAGAACAACTTTTTAATGAAACATAGAAGTAAAAGAAGTTGTTAGAAACACTAAGTAACTGTTCTTTTTATTTTAGTTTGTTTTTATAATTTCATCGGGTTTTTCAAGCTTTTGTTCAGTTTTTTTTTTGTTTGTTGTTTTGTTTTTTGTTCATTTAAGTTTAGCTTTAGATATTTTGTTACACTAAATTAAAATCATTTTCGTGGAACTAGCTGAAATAAGCTGTGTGCATGTATATATACAGATGTAAAGGTAGTTGCATCTGAGCATTCAGTTTTGCTATCAAATTTATAAATTACTTTTTATTCATAATTTTTTAGGGTTTTTTCACCTTTAATTTGGATAAGATAGTGAAGGTCACAGACAGGAAAGTATTGGGAGCAGAGAGAGGGGAGGGGTCAGCAAAGGAAGCCGAGCAGGGAATGGAACTCGGGTCGCCGTAAGCACTACGGTGCTATAATATATGTTGGCGCACTTAACCACTAGGCTATTGGCGCCAACTTTTTAAAAATACATTTAAACAGAAAAGTAAGATTTTATATTGCAAAAAATGTTTTTTTTTTACAATGTTACTGGATATGAACACAATCCTTGTATAAACTTGTTCAAAAACGTAGTAACACTCTATTTGATGGTCCGTTTGAGTATTAGTAGATTGCCTAATATGTTGATACTGCTTCTTCAACAGACATTTAACTGTCTATAAGAAACTTAGCAAGTGCATGTCAACTTACACTAACCCTAACCCCAACCTAACAGTCTACTTATAATCTAATGAGAATTAGTTGACATGTAGATGCAATGTAACTTAATTTAAAAAACATACCATCAAAATAAAGTGGGACCAAAAAGTAAACAAATAAAAAAACAATAACAACAAAAATCTTATTAACTAATTTCAGACAGAAAAATCAGTTCAGAAAACAGATTCATGCATATAAATGATTAAGTACACCAAGTATGTCAGAACAAAAGCTAGTTTCTGGAATGGCAACAACCTCTAAATGCTTTAATTGGATCGTCTTTGGTTCTACTTAGGCATAAATAGAAGCTCAGGTAGAGATAAACAACACACCTCTCTGCACAGCATCAATCACACAAGACATCAAGCGGACATTTCTGGTGAGTTCTGCTCCTGTAATCTTAATAATGTCACACAGTTCTGTGTATAACATAATATAACATAGCACATAGTATGGTTAATTAATAAAATTATATTATTTCATATTACTATCTTTACATACTTTCAAATGTCATCATTTCAAAGGTACTGAAAAGTTTAATATACCAGTGCGCTTATTAAAAATAAAAGGTTTTGCAGCAACGCCACAAAAGAAACTTTTTGAGTTCCTCAAATAGATCTTAAAATAGCCCTATTATTATTAGCATGAGGAACATTTTATCATTTAAAAACTTTTTTTTCTCTATAAAGAGTGTTTTGTGTTATGTTAAGTTTTCATGGATGATAAATGTTCTTCATGGAACCAAAAATCCCTAATAAGAACATTTATTTATAAGTGAATGTGATTGTTTATAATCAGTATTTATTTGTTTATCAGTATTTAAGTATTTATTGTTTATACACTGGATTTCACAGCTATGCAAACCAATATTGTAAGCTGTCATCTTGATAAATTAATGATCTAATAAACAACAATCAGGCATGTAAATTTACTTTACAGATAATGTACGGGTGTCATTATTTATAAGAGGTTATAGTTTATAGGAGGAAGTCAATATTTTATATGTGAAGTATAAACTGAGCTGTGGCCTTTACTCGTTAATTACTTAAGCATGTGATGTGATGTGATGGATTGAAAAGCACGTCCTCATTTTAAATAATGTTGTGTAACACCCTGCTGATCAGACTAGGACAGAAATAATAATGGTAAAACATTATTGGCTGATTGTTTTACCAGATATATGACGTATGATGTGACAGCTTTACAATGTTAGCTTTTGACTTCCACTTGCCAAATGTGACGGCTCTGTTGTGTTCATTTAGAACAACAGATGGCCAGCCATGAAGTAAAGCTGGTGAACTTGAGCACCTCTGGTGTCTTTTTGACATTCCTTGAATATTTCACTTTTGTTTTGATGGATAACCTCTCTGAATTTTATTAAAGTTATGACAATCTTACATTTCATCACAACATTATCTTATATTGATATTTACAATATGTGAATATATAAATTAATATGTAGATATTTATGTGCTTATTACTCATTCAGATACAATTGTATAACCTCACAAATGCAAGCAGGATATATAACATGAATATATATATGTGTGTGTGTGTGTGTGTGTGTGTGTGTGTGTATATATATATATATATATATATTATTAGAAAATAATTATCTTTTTTACTTATTACACTGACACGTTATATTAGTAGTTATCTATTTAATCTGTCAATTCATATAGAGGTATTTTGTCAACACCTCTAAATATAGTGTAAGACTATATAATGCTAATATAATGTATAATGTAATATATATATATATATATATATATATATATATATATATATATATATATATATATATATATAATTATATATATATATATGTATGTATAATGAATATAAATATAACGCTTTACCTTATTTAACCTTCACATCCTGCATCCCAGAAAGAAGATGCTAGCTCATGTCAGTTGTCCAGCTTAAAGTGGAAGAAACTGGATTAAAAATATATGGATTAGATTCAAATGTACAAACACAAAGTGACCACAGGTTACATGGTTCATATATTTCCTAAACATCATCAAATAATGAACTTCATCTGAAGAATCACCTCGTGATTGTGGTGTAGTGCCACTCAGTGGACATTCACTGGTCTTACTGCTCCATCACTCTTCTGATCAAACCTCTGAGCTGGATGACAAAACAAAGAAGGGTATTAATACAGTTCCAAAGAATACACTTAAATGTAAACAGAATATAAAGCTGTTAGACAATTTATTGTGTGATATCTGCGATATCTGCGAAAAAAGTATTAGTTTCCATTCAGATTAAATTAAATTACTTAAATTTAAATGGGTAGTTCAATAATACTAAAAACAAACACAACATTTACTTACCCTCAAGTGGTTCCAAACCTTTATGAGTCTCTTTCCTCAGTTAAATACAAAAGAAGATATTTTGAAGAAAGCTGAAATCCTCTAACCATTGATCTTCATAGTAGGAAAACAAATACTTAGGACGTTATGTCTTCTGGAAAATACCTTCTTTTATGTTGAACAGAATAAAAAAAGTAAAACAAGTTTGGAACAAATGAAGGGTGAGCAATGATCAGTTTTGGGTGAACTTCTTGGATTTAAGAAAAATCCCTTTTATAGTGCTTTAGAGTTAATTGCATTTTATAATTAGTCCTGAATGTACTGACAAGCATTTAGATAAAAGAAATACTAGAGAATTTATGTCAAAGACAATGGGGTTTACAAGCTTTGCAATAGTATTACACAGCTGTGTCTTATTTTATAAAATTATCTTAGAGCAATATTTATGAGCATATGATACATTTTTTATCTATGATTCACAGAGAACACCAAACTAACCTGTCTCTCAGTGCAACAGTGGTTTATATAATAATAATACTGATCAGGCATAGTTACATCAAGAATCATATGATGACATAATAAAATAATACATTAAAAGATCACTATGCAGTTCCAAAACACTCAAAATTAAATTCACAAATCATTATTATTAGCTCTTTAAAACGGTGGTCTGATAATGCTAAATGATATATTTGCTAACATGAACAATCAACAATACATTTATAACAGAATTTATTTTTCTTTGTTTACATTGGTTAATGAAAATGTCCTTAACTCACAACTAATGGTAACAAGCACTTTAGATATTAATCATTCACTAGTAAATGTTGAACTATTATTAATAAATGCTGAACAAGATTGTTCATACTTAAAATGGTAAATAAATACCTTAATGAACCAATATTTTTAAATATTCAAAACAATAAAAAATCTCTTATTCTTTAACAATATCAGAATAAACATGTTGCTTATTTTTAAATAAATATATGTTACACAGAATGATAATGGAAGATTACTTCATCAATGTTTGGAATTTTTCCTTAACAAGGCTTTATTATTCCTTTGAGATTACCAAAGATGGTGAGGATGAGGGTGTTGATCTTCTCTCTGGTTTTCCTGGCGTCTCTGGGCGTCTTCCATTGTGCTCCTGAAACGTCCCTTCCTCCAGTATTACCCAACACCCTCAAACGTGAGTCCATCCTGAGACAAACTGATCAATGGCATACAAATAAATGCAGCACTGGTATGATATCTACTGCATATGAGACCAGAAATGTGATGTCTTTCAGGTCTGTCTCTGGAGGGAGAGAAGCTGGTGGATCAGGAGGTCAGCAAAGCTCTGTATGGAATCAAACAAATGAAGGAGGTGATGGCCAGAAATGAAGAGAAACATGCAAACCTAATGAAGTCCCTGAGGCACAGCGAGGAGAAGAAAAAGGTCAGGAAATTTGTCAGTTGGGTTGAACATGCAAGAATACACACATAGATTTATATATGTGTGTGTGTGTGTGTATATAAACCAGTCAAAAGTTAAGGATCAGGATGTTTTTAAGAAGCATATTCTGCAGTAAAAAGTGTAAAATTGCGAAATACTATTATAGATTTAATTACTTTAATATATTGATGTTTTAAATCTGATTTTTTTAACCTTTTTAGTGTTACTTGATCCGCCAGAAATCATTCTAATATGCTTATTTTCTGTTCTATTATGATCAATAATTACAGGTACTAAATCATTACTCTATTTAATTATTAGATGTCTATAAGACTACTCTATGCAAAACTCTTTGGCTTCTTCACATTTTTTTGTAGAAACTGATTCTGTATCAGTTTCTACACAAAAAAACGCTAATAAAAAAAAATAAGGGTTTCTTGAGCAGCAAATCAAGATTATATTATATTATATTTCTGAAGGATCATGCTGAAGACTGGAGTAATCACGGTGAAAACTCAGCTTAAAATACATTTCACTTTAGACTACATTCACTAAAACAAAAGTTACTGTAAAATGTAATAACATTTCTCAATTTTACAGCCTTGTTGAGCAGAATGCGCTTGTTTTAAAACACAATTCCAGTCAGATATTCGCCATGTTTGAAGTAAAGCTGTGATTGTGTGGTTCCACCATCAGGGGGCAGCAGAGATCACGCAGAGCATAGAACAGAAGCTGAATGAAGCAGCGCAACACTGTAACGAGTCTATCAAGTCCTCGTGGCTGCAGTGTCTGCACTGTCTCAACGACACCTGCAAAACCTTCTACACCAACAACTGCCGTCGTGGATTCACCACTTTCACTAACAAAGTAAATAACAAGTTTCTATATTGATGCTAGAGCAGGGATGTCCAAATTCGGTCCTGGAGGGCCAGTGTCCTGCAGATTTTAGCTCCAACTTGCCTCAACACACCTGTAAGGATGTTTCTAGAGAGCCTAGTTAGAGCTTGATTAGCTAGCCCTGGTGTGTCTAATTGGGGTTGGAACTAAACTTTGCAGGACACCGGCCCTCCAGGACCGAGTTTGGGCACCCCTGTGCTAGAGTAACTCATTACTAACTGTTTCCTCATAACTGCTTATTCATTATTCTTCTTTAGGTAGGACTTTTAAAAGCAAAAATCAAGTCATTTTTTTTCAAACTACCTAGTTATTACCCATTGAAACGGACCTACAGTATGAAGTCACTTGGTTATCAACTATTCAGTTCATAGAGTAGTAGGCTATGTATTTCACCTGTGACCAGTACATATCGTAAACAAATATACTAGTTATTCATGAGGTACTGGTACTTTACTTTAAATATTATTAAATATTTGTGCCTTATTTTTGGATACTAGTACTTATTAGATAACAAATAAATAGTTAAATTAGTTTTTATTACATGCATGATATACTTATTAGACACTTGCACCATTGGAATAGAGAATAGTTTTACAAATACTTTTGTAACTTATTACATGTAAGATTTTTTTATTTACATTTTGAAAATGATTAAACATTTCTGCTACTTTAGTAACTTTAAGTTCAGTAACTGTCCTGTCTACATTATATGCTTTTAGTTTTTGTAACAGTCCCTAAACAATTCTAGAATTACCTCTTGCTTTATATATTATGTAAGGAGTTAGTTCTAGTATTAGTTTTATAAAAACTAGCATTGATAAAATAAGCAGGCTATTAGTATGTTTTTTTTAAGGTTGTATTACCTCAAGAATAAGCACTAGTAGCAAATTAAAAGTTCTTGTACTTAAAGGGATAGCACACTCAAACATTATTTAATTGTCTTTATTACCCTTAAGTGGTTCCAAACCAGTCTAAGTTTATGTTTTGTTGAAAACAAAAGAAGATATTTTGACTATTGTAAGAGACCAGTAACCTCCCCTGTAGAAAAAAACATACTATAGAAATCAACATTTCTTTTTTCCATGTGAACTATCCATTTAATGAAGATAACAGTTGCTTGATTGTATTAAACCCGATTTCTGGTATCGATCTGTATGCATTTTTCTTCAATTACTGTATATTCATATACAGTGCTTAGCGTTATTGAGTTGACTCCATTTTGAAGATGAATATTTTTATCCATTTCTCAGTGAATATAGGCAATGTATTTTGGTGCATTTAAACAAAACATATTAATTAAACAGATATTTTTATTAAAATAACATTTTAGTCACCAAACATATTTAGACACTGAAAGATAATACAATTAAATCAAGCAAAACATTGAAAAAATAAATAACAACCTACAAAATTTTAACACATTTTTTTTCTATTTAAAAAAATTTGTATTTAATATTTTTCTATAACATAAATTTGTGTGTACTAGTTTTTACATTGTTATGGTAAGTTATTTTGTTAGATAAGCTCCAGATTTGGCTTCAGTACCGACTAATCTAATGCACATGAAAAAATATAATTTTGTAGAGCTTCCTATTAAAAATACGAGTTTAAAAGAGATTTGTGAGCGGTGTACTCATATATGCTAAACACTGTATGCTTTTTAAACAAATCAAAATAATTTTAAATACATCAAATGTACTTTTTTTTTTTTTTTTTGTTAAAGTGAGATACAAGTTCATGTTCTATCTATTTCTCTGTTCTCCACAGCTACAGACCTTCTTCCAGAGACTGAACTCTCAGTTTGAGCCTCGTGATGCTCAGGATGAGGTGGCTCTGAACCAGAGCGTTGAGACTCCTGACCTGCAGGTGGTGAGGATCGAGGACTCCTTTAGCAGCCTTCTCTCTAAAGTGGGAGCGCTGGTAAATCGCAGTGTGGTGCTGGTCTCTCACTTCCACCATGAGCTAGACCAGGCCTTGCGTAGAGCCTTCAGCCCTGAGCTTCAGGACGACCGAGAGAGAGAGCTGCAGCTCAAGCCTAAAAACAAAGCTCTGGACTCTGCCTTTCTGGAGGGTGTGGGTCTGGACGATGTGCTCGACTCCTTCTTTGACTTTGGCAGACGTGTGTTGGATGAGTTTGGCGCTGTCGTTACACAGGCTTTCAGTGACATTCATGGGGCTGCGGAGAAGACTGGGGAAGGTGCTTTTGTAGTGATACATGAAGTTAATTTCTGTCATCATTTACTCGTCCACCCGACGCAATAAAGTGCAAGACGTGTTTCACACAATTTGTTGCAATTTTCAGACAAGTGCAACCCTAATTTTTACGTTTTGCCACCACGTTGTTTAAATAGCAAATTCAGTTGCGCCACATTGAGGACTCATAGGTGTTCTGGTCAAAAAATAGTTATTTTTAAGGCGCATTGTAGGTGCATTGCTATTTTAAAGGGTTGAAATAGACTGTGCCATTGACCAACTGAAAGCTGGTCTAAAGTTCAGTGCAGAGCACATTAGCTATATATAGCCTATGCAGGTAAAAAACACTTACACATTGTTTGATACACACAGGATGTATAGCATTACACAAATATCTCTACATATGAAAAAATTAAAGGATTAAAATGTTACAAAAAATATTATTTACTACATAAATACAAAAACCGCCTCCAAGTACTTGTATAATGTTATTGTTATTAGCAGTATTATTTATTGTATGCATATTTATATTTATTTACAAGTAAGTAACAAGTTTAGATTTGTCCACCTGTCAGGTTTTGAAGACGTATGCATCACCATATGGGGCATAAGAATAGGACTTGTGTTTAGATAGCCTATAGCCTTGACCACTCTTCATTATTATTGTTCATTTATTTGTTTGCTGGAAATTAGAACTGCATTTAGAAATAGTTTTGAAACAAATCTTTGCACTTAACAAACATAATTAAATATGTAGGCTAATGGATGTCTTCAGCGGAGCGCATGTAACCCTATCCACAAAGTAAAGAATAAATGGAAAAAAAAAAAGAAAGTAACGAGGCTGAATGGAGGAGACCCTTATCCTCACGCAGATGGTCTGTTTAACTGTTTTCTGTTCAGTTTTTCATCTAACTAAGTCCGCCATGTAATTAGCAAATGCACTGGCGTGACACAACTGACGCGGCGCAAACAGTATTTTCCCATTCTCAAAATAGCAAAAGTGTATTCAGACATGCCCTTAATGCTTTTGCACCATGTGCTTTAGACTTTGCGTCTAGACTGTTAAAACAGAGCCCTTTGTTTCTTTGAACAAAGATCCTTAAATAAATATTATTTTGATTACAATGAAAGTGAAAGACAATAGCACAAAAAGTTCCAAAATGACCATTTAAATAGTTCGTTTGACGGTCTTTGTGTTGAGCAAATGATGACAGAATACAGGTGAACTGTTTCTTCATATCATAAAAAGGCATGGATGAAGATCCTGATGTCCTATTCACACAAACAGTGAAAACTTAAAATGATACCATCACTACAGCTATACCAATAACAACAACACTGATGAATCAAACTCGGTAATAATCACTAAAATGTATAAAAACATTCCCAGTAGATAAATTATAAAAAATTTTAAAAAAACTGATACGGAGAAAAGTAATGAATGATTGCCCCTTGGGGAGTCATCAATGCAGCACACACTTCTAATAAACAGATTTATCGTCTGTTGGTGTGGATGCCAATATGGTTCATTCTAGTGTGAACAAGCCTTAAAAATACTGGAACTTAACAGTCAAAAATACAAAGCTAATCTAATATTGGAATCCAGTTGGATGTATAATATTGACCCCTTTAATAAAGTTAACCAGCATTGATGTTGATCATAATACAGTTAGCACTGCAGTTGAGTCTCTCTACATGTGTTTGTATTTACCTCAGGGAAGAAGCTCCTCCCTCAGTTTCTGCAGACCCGGAGGCTGTGCAGAGACATGCGCAGACAGTCCTCGGGTTGCTGGCAGCTGCAGGACAAATGTGAAGTCTGCCAGGGAGTCTTGCTTACCGGTAAGAACACACACACACACACACAATGATTAATCAAATGGACAGTTCACACAAAAATACAAATTCTGGCAGCATCACCCATGTAAAATCAAAAACTAAAGTTTTTTTTGTAAATGATCTGCTTAGCCTTAGGGTTATCCAGTATGCTCCAAATCAAAGACAACATTCGTACTAAGAAGATACTGAATATGTTCATTCAAAACGTTCAGTATATTATTTTCACCAATTAGAGAGCAATGATTTTGATGACATCCCTCTTCACATCAACTTCTCTGTCCAATCAAATCGTCTTATTAATCTGAAGCGTCCCACTCACTACACTATAACTAGACACCACAGATATGTCTGAAATTGGTCACACACAATATCTATTGGAGAATACACAATTTACTGTTGGGGATACACAATTTAGAAAGTGTAAATATGCTTTCTGCTAGGGTAAAAAAAAAAGTCTGATATACTTTTAATTAAGCATTACCATTAGACTGGGGCTAATATGTAAAATACAGCTTTGGAAATCACATCTATCTAGAGCAAGGTTCACCAACCCTGTTCCTGGAGAGCTACCTTCCTGCAGATTTTAGTTGCAACCCTGACCAAATACACCTTTTTGTAATTATCAAGGGCTGCTTTAGGTACTATTAATTGGTTCAGGTGTGTTTGATCAGGGTTGGGACTGAATTCTGCAGGAAGGTAACTCTCCAGGAACAGGGTTGGTGACCCCTGATCTAGTGCAATGGTCTCAAACTCAATTCCAGGAGGGCTGCAGCTCTGCATAGTTTAGCTATAAACCACCTCCAACTCACACCTGCTTAATAGTCTTTATAGTAGACGTAATCACCTTGATTAGTTGGATCAGCTGTGTTTGATTGGGGTTGAAGCAAAACTATGCAGAGCTGCAGCCCTCCTGAAATCCAGTTTGAGACTTATGATCTAGTAAATATTACATCAAAACTTTGAATACTGCAGCACATTCAAAAGTTCCTCAAGGGACCTTTAAGTCATGATCTTCCTATTAGTTGATTACTAAAAAGTTAGAGAGCTGATTTTGAAAACTGAATCCAGGTTGTGAATCTTTCAGTCTGCTTAGTTAAACTGTTCTCCTCACTGCATGCGGGTGGGTAACTGATGACAGAATTGTCATTTTTGGGTTATCTGTTAAGTCTTATTGATCATTGTAAATGTTTGAGAGCCAGAATGCCCGCTTGTCAAAGAGCTGCACATTGAGCTGGACGAGGCGTCTCAGCTGTGGGAAGTGTCCAAGCAGCAGTATGAAGAGGTGCTGGGCATCGTGCAGCATCACACCGAAGACACCATCAGCCTGATCAGCAACATGGCCTCTGACTTCGGCTGGGTGGCCGAACTCGCCAGTAACAACACCACTCCTGAGAACATCTTCAACATTGCCACGGTAAGAGATTACCAAAAGAAGAGCCACACTATTATCATTTATTACCATGTATCAATTACATATATCGATTTATTAAGTCAAATACACATGCTTTTTCATCACTAACTCCTTAAGTACCACTTACTGAATTTCACAGGCAGAGTTAAAGAACAAGAATGGCGAAAGTAGATTTATGCAGAAACCCAATGATAAATATGGAAAGATTCAGTGCAGTTTCAGAATAATTGTTGATGAGAACTTGATCCCTTGTTCACTTCACCTGACGGTGGATTAGTTTACAAACAAAGCACAAATCGACACAGTTCAAACTGAGCATCAGAATGGGGAAGAAAGGTGATTTAAGTGACTTTGAACGGTTCATGGTTGTTGTTGTTGCCAGACGGGTTGTCTGAGTATTTCAGAAACTGCAGATCTACTGGGATTTTTATGCACAACCATCTCTAGGGTTTACAGAGAATGGTCCGAAAAAGACAAAATATCCAGTGAGCGGCAGTTCTGTGGAGGCAAATGCCTTGATGATAAAAGAGGTCAGAAGAGAATGGCCAGACTGGTTTGAACTGATAGAAAGGCAACAGAAACACAAATAATCACTCATTACAACCAAAGTATGCAGAAGAGTATCTCTGAATGCACAACACGTCTAACCTTGAGACGGATGGGCTACAGCAGCAGAAGACAACACCGGTTGCCACTCTGGTCTGATAAGAACAGAAAACTAAGGCTATAATTCGCACAGGCTCACCAGAATTGGACAATAGAAGATTGGAAAAACATTGCCTGATCTGATGAGTTGCAAATTTGGCATCAACATCATGAAAGCATGGATCCATCGTGCCTTGTATCAAGGGTTCAGGATGGTGTAATGGTGTGGGGGGTATTTTCTTGGCACATTATGGGCCCATTAGTACCAAATAAGCATTGTGTCAACGTCACAGCCTACCTGAGTATTGTTGCTTACCATGTCCATCCCTTTATGATCAGAGTGTACCCATCTTCTGATGGCTACTTCCAGCAGGATAACGTGCCATGTCATAAAGCGCAAATCATCTCTGACTGGTTTCTTGAACGTGATAATAAGTCCATTGTACTCATATGGCATCCACAGTCACCAGATCCCAATCCAATAGAGCACATTTGGGATGTGGTAGAACGGCAGATTCGCATCATGGATGTTAAACCAACAAATCTGCAGCAACTGCTTGATGCTATCATGTCAATATGGACCAAAATCTCTGAGGAATATTTCCAGTAGCGTACTGAATCTATGCCATGAAGGATTAAGGCTGTTCTGTAGACAACATTTCTTGGTTCAACCTGGTACCAGTAAGGTGTACCTAATAAAGCGGCCGGTCAGTGTACATGCAAAATGTAAATGGATATCGGTGTGCACAAAGGTCTTCGAAAGGTTTTAAATATGCAAAACTGTCAGCCAGTCCACGCCTTTACAAACAACGCGTTATGATGAGAGGGGTCAAAACAGGACAAAAGTTAACCTGTCACTTCTAAATGATGTTTTTTAATGTAAGAATCCTGACTTTATTATAAGTGGACCTCACTTAGCAGTGCAAAATTAAAAAAAATGTGCAGAAAATGAGAAGAAAAATCAGACAGTAAATCGGTTCATGTTCAATCACAAGGTGGTGGCACAGACTGAAGAGGGCGCCAGCGGTCCAGCAACAGACTCTACAGTGGAAGTGAATATCCTCAACTCCCCGACTCTCACCCTGACCGTTCCTGCGGGTCTCAAGCTGCAGGATCCTGCTTTCATCCAGTATGTGGCACAGGAGGCTCTGGGCATCTACAAGCAGATGGTCAGGTGAGATATTTCCCAATTAAACCATGTCAACTTCACACTTATTAACACGTTTCACAGGGACAATTTATATCTGATAAGGAGAATAACCCTGCATATAAATCAGGTCTCAAATAAGAGCCAATAAGAAGTCTATGCAAAATCTATAATTATGTGGCCACATTATAATTAACCCTATTATGGGTTGTCGCCAGATGGGATATGGTTGCGGCCGGAAGTTAAAGAGAATTATTTATATTATTTTTTAATTTCCCATTTATTGTACTTTATTAACGTCCACGCTAACCCTAAACTCAACCGTCACAGTAATGTAAAAACAGTAGTTGTACAGATTATTATTTATGTTATCTATTTAATTACCTTATAAATTGTATTTTTTAACACCAACTCCCACCCAAACCCTAAACCAAAGCGTCACAGTACTGTAAAAATATTAATTATAGTTATAATGTCATAAAAATGCTGCTATATTAATGTGCATATCGCACGTCCGGCCAGCCGTGTATCCGATCTAGACTTTACCCCTCTAATGCCTAATGTGACATATTTGAATTACACTTTGCATATATAGGATGATAAATTATTAACACTTGCTAATTGATATATGATAGATATAGCCGATTCAAGAAAATGCCATTTTAGTTAAATTCTACAAATTTTTACCTGTAAAAACCTTTCTTCCTGTAAAATCTTACATGCCTTTTTCTGTTTTAATAATACCAAATATTATTAATATTTTACTATTAGGAATGAAGACATGTTGGTGTTCATATCAGATTTACCAAAGTGATTTTGTCAAATGGTTTCAGAATTTGATCTGACTCCTCTGAATAAAACATGTATATATGGGCCAAAACAAAATACACATTTAAGCTTTTTATTTAGTTCAAATGTTTAATAAATGAATCCATTTCAAAGAATGCAGGTTATCTTATTTTTAATTACATTTTAAATAAAACTCCTACTGTATTGTTTTACTTATGGGCCAGTTTAAAGCCTTCAAGTCAATAATCATGAAGAACACTGATTGATTTTGGTTCAAAAACAAGAATATCTATAGACTAGATTATCTTTCTAATGCTCAGTTCTGATTAACCTCTAACCATATTTCTTTCTTTTTTTAGGCATGATGACGTGTAATGAAACACAAGTCATCAGTTTTCGGCCCAGCTTTAACCAGAACACTCTTGCAACATCCCATATCCTATAATTTAAGCATTGTGTTTTGCTTAGAAACCGAGATACTACAAGCATTCATTAATGTTATCATATGGCAGGTTGCAATTTAAAACTTGTCTTGTTAATTCATGTAAACATTGTTAAACTAATGTAACCGCATAATCTCGTTTATTGCATAAGCTTTTGCCTAGATAAATCATTAAACACTAGGCCTCGGTGTGTTTATCAATCCTATGAAACACTATAAATGTTTATTTTATTTATGTTTAATTATGGTGCATGTTTCAATAGTAAATAAAATATTAATTAAAAACAGTATTAATAATGATAAAGTCACATAGACATAAAGTCTCATTACCTTTATTACTCTCAGATGAAAAGCGTTGTTTCCACCAAGTCCTAGGTCAAATTCAATTGACCTAAATGTTCCACTGAAGAATTGACATGAAAGCCACAAAGAGTTAAAAGCATTACGTAAAACTTTATTTTTGACTGTACAAATTCTTCAGATTAGTAATCGTAACCAGTTTCACAACAAATGTTCTCTTCTTTTCATTAAAACTCTCACCTCACAATCAGACCATTCTCTTTTTCTCCATCTCTCGCTTTTTGACACAAACAACACAAAAGTTTTGCACAAACTTGCCTGTAGCCCTTGTAAAACAGAAGGTGGTGATGGGAAAGATGTCTAGCGCTGTCCTGGATAAACACACAGGACACAATCAAGTCTCTCGGACAAAAGGGCTCACGTACATGAAGGACAAAAGCAAGGCCACTCTCTCATTCTCTCTATATCAGAAAGGCTACACAACAACAAAAAAGGAGAGAAATCCAACAAATTAGCCCTCTGAAAGATATCAGTCTGACTCATCTCAAGTGCATTCAATTGCTTGTCATGGATGAAATGAACCCGTTTTAGACAGTACACTACGCCAGCAAACTCAAAAGACTTTAATTAAGACTGAAATCTGTACTAGCGGTGCAAAAACGGTATGGATGATGTCCATTTAACCCTCTTTGCTAGACTTGTACCATTTTAACAGATCAAGGGGAACATTTTGATACAAATTTGACTGAACTTTGGTTGGCAAATGGTTTTAATCTGTAGTACCTGAATATTTCACAGTGATCGATGGCTTAAAAAGAAGTGTAAAAACTCCAAGTAGCAAATGTGGTACATCATGGTGAACCAGTTTCTGCCATTTTGATTCCTGTTGAAGAAAAACATCAACAAACAAACGCATCTGTGTGATAAGATTTGAGCAAGTTCACATTCGTATGTCAAGATGAAGAAATGATGGCTCTTTTGAAATATATACTGACGTCTGTGAAAGGTCAATAAATCTCTGTGGTTCATTTATCGGAGTGTACATGAGAGAACAATGAGTTTTGTACCGAGAGGTTGGCCACACTACAAATGTGTTGGCACGAAATAAAAACAAACCTGGCAGTGTCGGTGCTGATGAGTGTAAAAAGGAAACTCTGCCTTTGCTGTTGTGATATTAAAAGCCGTCAGGGTGAACAGGAGCATGAAGAAATGCTGCCTGGCAGGTCTGGTGTTCTGTTCATTACTGTTAATTACTTAGGAAACACAATTAAAAATAAAGTAATTGTGACATTTATCTCCCAATCGCCAGTTTACTTTTCACAATTGAACTTGTGTCTTGTAACTGCCAATTCAGACTTTTTTCTCTTAGGATCTCTTGGTTTAAAATGTTGCTATTTCAACCCCCTGACTCTCTCTCGATTTAGATTTCTAAAATATATTCTTCTGACTTCTTTTCTCGCTAAAGCTGCAACATTGTGTCTTGTAGTTTTAAATGATGGACATGTAATTCTGGGTGGTGAGGGATATAAACTAAAAATTACAAGAAATTAAACCAGACTTGTGAGAACGCCTATAAATATGTAGAGATGAGAAACAAAAGTCAGCAATTTGTCAGCTTTTAATTGAAACAATTTGTCAGCTTTTAATTGTTTTTAATCTTGCAGTTGAAATGAGTTTCATAATTTACCATTGAATTACTGAAGATAAAATAATGCTTTTTTTGTGCAATGATTTTCTGCTTGGAAACTAGCAGCTGGTTGAAATGGCAATTGGTCATCAGAAATGTTTTCCGAAACAAATAATCTCCCAGGATATGATTTCAAGCTCTCATAGAGATCGAGAATGACTGCAAAGTAATTGTAGGATCTTATTGAAAAATCACAATTTGCTATAAAAGTGTTTTAGAAAAAACAAAACTGCCTCTCTAAATAATATGTTTTAAAAATCAAACGTTCAAGCACTCGTACATTCAGAATGGCTAATGCCCTCATGCATTTCTCTCTCTTTCTCTGTCATTCTTTTAACTTCCACTGTCCCATCATCTCTACAATGGCACTAAGAGTTTCTGTTAGCGGCCACCAATTTAACCACAGTTATTGGTCACTTTTAATGAACTACTCAAACTAATATAAAAAAAATGGGGGGGGATGAAAAAAAAACTTAAAATAAGAAAGACTGATTTAACGATAAGATTTAGTGTTCAGGTGGAAAAAAGAATACAGGTAAGAGGAGGAAAAAAACAATAAAAAGGCTGATTTTGTGCAACTGTGAACCAGCCAATAGCACAAAGCCTGCTGCACAGCTCCCTCTGTCTGCAGATTGAGGAATCACACCAGGCAGAGTTCTCGGAGCGTGAGGTGGTCCCGCTCAAAAACACACAACCACACACAAACACTGTCCTCATCAACTCCACCACACATACACACATTCACACATCCTCCGGCAGAGAACAGTCTGACCACAAAGTCATGCTGTGAAGGATATGACTGATGCGCTTTTCCAATTTGACTGGGGGGAGAAATAAAGAAAAACACAACAAAAGAAACTCTCTGTAAGGACAAGTGTGTGGGGAAAGGTTTGGGAAGCGTCCCGGTGGCTTATTAGCACGTGGTGGCGAGTGTCTGGGGCCTGTAGAGCTAGTGTCTCTACAGGTTGTCTCCGGGCTGATACTGTGGCTCAGTGGCGGTGAAATAGTCCTCTAGGAAGGACTGGATGTATTCGAATGTGGGCCGCTCGTCGGGCTCCTTCTTCCAGCAGAGCCGCATCATTTCGTGCAGCGACTCTGGGCAGCCCTGAGGACATGGCATTCTGTAGCCCCGCTCCACCTGCTCCAACACCTCGCGGTTCACCATGCCTGAAAGACAGTGGATAGAGCGTCAGTTTGTGCAAACGCCTGCTGTTGTGTGGCCAGACGCTCTCAGACAGGAAGTGTGAGGGGTGTGTAATTACAGCGGACACTTCTAGTGGAGTCCACAGAGGACTGGACAGCTGCGGAGAGGACGTCTAAAGCAGCGTGAGAAACACTGAGTGACCTTTTCAACGCTCATTCCATTTTTACCAACACTCATTTGCTTTATAACTCATAACAATGAGGCTTATGTGCTCAACTCAAATCAATAAATCATATAAGTTTGGCGGAATAACCCTGATTTTGAATCACAGCTAATGAAAACATTTGTTATTCTGACCTATTGTCATTTGCTGAAATAAATAAGTCATAAATATATAAATAATAAAAATCTGCAGTTAACAATTCTTTAATTTTAAAATAAATGTTCCCAGACTTTTATAGAAGAGAACCAGAGAAATAGAATTTCTAATAATATAATATAATATAATATAATATAATATAATATAATATAATAGGGTGATGTGGTGGCGCAGTGCGTAGCATGATCACCTCACAGCAAGAAGGTCGCTGGTTCTAACCTTAGCTGGGTCAGTTGGCATTTCTGGGTGGAGTTTGCATGTTCTCCCCATGTTTGTGTGGGTTTCCACCCGAAGTCCAAAGACATGCAGTATAGGTAAATTGGGTAAGCTAAATTGTCGGTAGTGTATGAGTGTGAATGGATGTTTCCCAGTGACTGCTTGCAGCCGGAAGGGAATCTGCTGCGTCAAACATATGCTGGATAAGATGACGATTCATTCAACTGTGGCGACCCCAGATTAATAAAGGGACTGAGCCGAATCCAATAATTAATGAATCCAATGAATGTGTTAATGTGGTTGCAGTTTATTTCTTGTTGTGGCCGATGTGTGTTCAACATGCAAAGAAATATGGATAAGACTAAGGAAGGACTTTTAGATGGAAAGTTTCAGTATAAAATGTTTCTTCATGAGTTTCATGTAATTTCGGGTGTTTCATTTTAGCAGTTGAGGTCAAAATTATTAACCCCCCGTTTATTTTCCCCCCAATTTCAGTTTAACGAAGAGAAGAGTTTTCAACACATTTCTCAACATAATAGTTTTTATAACTTATCTCTAATAACTGATTTATTTTATCTTGGCCATGATGACTTAATTAGGTTAATTAGGCAGGTTAGGGTAATTAGGCAAGTAAGTTATTGTATAACGATGGTTTGTTCTGTAGACTATCAAAAAAATATAGCTTAAGGGGACTAATAATTTTTTACCTTAAAATGTTTATTAACAAATTAAAAACTGCTTTTATTCTAGCCAAAATAAAACAAATAAGACTATCTCTAGAAGAAAAAATATTATCAGACATACTGTGACAATTTCCTTGCTCTGTTAAACATAATTTTGAAAATATTTTAAAAAGAAAAAAAAAATTAAAAGGGGGGCTATTAATTCTGACTTCAACTGTAATTATTCGATTTTAACTGCAGTTTGGCAGTTTCATTTTCATTCAGAGACATATTGTTCATGCCCCGTGACAAACTGAGGTATTGGGTGAGAATATAAAGTAAGGACTGGTGGAAGAGTGTTGTTTTGATGGAATTTAATACTGCACGCCAAATGGAAAGAAAAAAAACTCTGCATTCCGTGATGAGGGTGTTTGTGGTTCTATAAGGTAATCAAAAATCTCTGTTTACATTGTAGACTCTTAATCAGTGTATTGTCTTAATCATATTAAAATCTGAGTATTATGTCATATGTCCATGTAAACATACCCCATAAACGTGCCAGATAATGTCGTAATTTTCCATATTTGCAATGCCTGTATTTCAGAAATTTTTGTAGTCCACTTAGAATCCAACATGGAAATCATTTTTGTTTTTATTGCGGTTGATTGCTTTGAAATTCAAATGGCACTTAAAGGTACATGCCTGCGTTTTGATTTGCAGGTATGTTGTTTACATGAAGAAATGTGTGTTAAGTAAGTTAAATAAAAAATCAAATAAATGCATAATAAATGCTAATCATATTTAGAATTTTAATAGTTTACATTTATTTACATTTTACATTTGAACAGCCAAAATGACAAGTTTCAGTCTTTTAATTGCGATTAATCGTGATAAATTGTAAAAAATGTGTGATTGATAAGTTATTTTTTTAAATCGATTGACAGCACTAAATAATATAATATAATATAATATAATAATATAATATAATATAATATAATATAAGTCAATTTTTTCATAGCTGTATGTGACACGCAAGAACAAAACTCACTGGGTTGACAATTGAATGGATTTTGAGAAGAAGAGAAGTGTAAAGCGGTGCTTTTTTAGAGTTAGAGGAAGTCATTTCTTTTCCTGTGACGCTTATAAAGTTTGTTCGTGTATGCGAAAAGCCCTGAGTGACTTTTCTAAGCAGAGCCCATTTTCATTTACACGCACTTACATAATGACTCATAACAATAAGGCGTACTTGTGCTTAACTCGAATCAATAAATCTTATAATAAGTGGAAAGCTGGATTTCCTGTTGGAGCTTAGACGGAAATGCTTAAGACAATTAAGGAAAGGCTTTGCCATTCTACAGATTCAAATTTTTCCCCTTGTCTCCATAACTTACAACACCAAACGTTTGGAAAAATTCATGACATTGCTTTTTTGGAGACACAGATTCTTTTGGGAGAAACTCCTTTTTTTATTATTATTATCTACCAAACGATAATAAATAATAACGATAATACCAAAACAAAACAAAAACTGAAAAAATTAATACCTAATTATCTGTGTTTAGTATTTATGGTTTAAAATTAATCTTAATATGCTTTATATGCAGTGTATTGACCACAATTTGCAGCTAATAGGGCAACACTAGACCTTTTCCCCACACAGTACAGCACATTCCAAACACTGCAATCTTACTCATCATTTACTAGCTGTCCAACAAATATAGAATATGACTCTCAGGATGTACGTGTTAATCCACAAGAAACAGATCTCCCTGAGCTGTAACTGGCCATCATAAAAATGATAGACTGAGGTGCCTCATGTGATTATGTTCTTCCAATGCAACAACCACAGACCCTCCTATTTTCTAATACAGACCATGGCTGCGCCTAAAATCTCATACTTCCATACTATACTGTCTCTTAATAACATTATGTGAGCCAAGAATTATGTCCAAATTCATAGTATTTGAAATACAGCACTTGAAAAGTACCTGGATGACCTAGTATTGGTGAGATTTTGAAATGCGCATTTAATGAACGCTACGCTATCCCATGATGACACATGAGAGAGTTTATGAATTTGAGTGAAGCAACACAACTGAAGCAGGTAGGTCAAGTGATAATGACAAATGAAGGATGTAGAACGTTCAAGTTTCATTCATGCTACTCAGATTCATACTATATAGAATGTACTTTTCTATCAGTCCTGTAGTAAATTTAAATGTAATACATACTCGAGTAGGCGACGCAGTGGGTAGCACGTTCGCCTCACAGAAGGTCGCTGGTTCGATCCTCAGCTCAGTTGGCGTTTCTGTGTGGAGTTTGCATGTGCTCCCTGCGTTCGCGTGGGTTTCCTCCGGGTGCTCCGGTTTCCCCCACATTCCAAAGACATGTGGTACAGGTGAATTGGGTAGGCTAAATTGTCCGTAGTGTATGAGTGTGTGTGTGAATGTGTGGATGTTTCCCAGAGATGGGTTGCGGCTGGACGGGCATCCGCTGCGTAAAAACTTGCTGGATAAGTTGGCAGTTCATTCCGCTGTGGCGACCCCAGATAAATAAAGGGACTAAGCCGACAAGAAAATGAATGAATGAATGAATGAATGAATGAACGAACAAACATACTCGAGTAGTGTGCGATTTAGGACGCAGCTTATCTCTAATGACTAATAAGCTGAATCAGGTGTGTTGAATAATGTTAAAATGTGCAGTGATTGAAAACCCATAGCTAGCGTAAGGCTCTTTATCACTGGAGTAAAAACCTACAAGCTTTGGAAACCGGCCCAGATTTGAAACAACTGAGCCACACTTGAGCAAAGTTGCTGCTTCAATCAAAGTTCATCTAGAAATCTGCATGAGAGCTGATGCCCATCAATAATGGAGCGACTCTAAGAGTCTACAGCTGAATGACTGATGAAAGCCTAACAGGGTTTGTGATGTGCAGCATCAGTCAAGAGGCTTTAGGTAAGTGTATAAATGACAGACTGTGCCGTGTGAGGGACAAGTGCGAAGAGGGGATGGACAGATGGTGGTACATAAGAACTAGTGCCCAGTCAGTCCTTCATGCCCGTCTCAGCCAGATGGCTCCTTCAGAAGAGTAATAACACGCCCAGCAGTGCCTGGCTGGTCCAGTAGGGGGCACAGTGGAATCTGCACCTTTCGGTTTGGAGATTTACCTACAGCAGACTCCAGCCCCAACCCTGCTTCAGCACACCTGCCTGTGCATTATGAGTCAACCTGAAGACTACCAATAGAGCTGGTTTAGTGTGTCACTGGTGGTGTATAATGTTAGGGAGATCTTAAAATTCACCCATAAAATGTAAATACCTTCAACATTTACTCAACCTGGAGAAAGTCAAATCCCTACAACTTAATTTGTTTTGATCATAAATCTTAATTTGTGTTTTTAAATATTAACCAAAGAAACCTGAGATCCCTTGACTGAAAATGAATATAACTCCAAGAACAACATAATGGCATCATGAAATGATCTATATAAAAGTTGTTCATCCGAGTTCCAATATAGTAAACAGTGTAGAGAACAAACCTTACTTGCTCCTGAGCATCACATGCATGTTTGAGCTTCTGTGTTTGCTTTTTGTGATGCATCAGTGTAGATCATTGTTTAGTAGGGAATGTAGTGTTTAGTACACTGAATTTAGCATTTCTCTAATTGCCTCCCATTCGGTAATTGCAATAAGCTTTTTTTAGTTTAAACATTGAACAATCTTAGCTTTTATATTTAGCCTTTTCACAACAGGATAAAGAAGGATAAATAAACCAACAATCTCTTTATCTTTTGTTACGAGTAACAGCACTAAATAAACAGAATTATTTGGACAAAATAAATAAGCAAATAAAATAAAAAGTTAATATACAAATATACAAATTTAAAGCTATAAATAAAAATAGATGTCTTTTGTTTAAGACATTATTCAAAATCTTATCTTAATTTGTAATTTTCCTACATTTATGAAAACAAAATAAATATCTGCAAGTATTACAAGTAATGTTAAAAAAGGGGACATACTGAATTTTTGGTTTTGGCTCAGATTTTTTATTTGGGTGCATGACTACTACTAACATAAATAAAATCTAAAGTAGATGAAATCTCCTCTGATAGTTGATTGTTTATGATCTTTTGGTTACATGAACTCTCAAAGAAGCAAAAAGTTTTTTTAAAAGAAATAAATGTTTTGTGGAAATTTCATTAGAAGTAAATGTTGAAAACACTAACAAGGGTAAACTATCTCTTTAAATAAATCCTATAATTCCATCTCAAACGTGAAAAAAATGTGATCACGAACAAGTGAAAGAAACAGCAAAAACAAAACACAGAATCCCTGCTGAATTGTAGTATTTCTCACCTGGATATGGCACTCTGCCCTTGGTGACCAGCTCTGTCAGCAGAATCCCGAAGGACCAGACGTCAGATTTAATAGTGAATCGGCCGTACAGAGCTGCTTCTGGCGCAGTCCACTTAATGGGAAACTTGGCTCCTAGAGGAACAATGGCACACAATCTTTAATTACTGCAGCAGACTTGATGCCTATTACTAAAGCAAAGCAAATCTCAGCATTCTAAAACATTCAGTCTACTTCAACACTACTTAAATCAGTGGATACAAGTAGGGAAAAATGAACCTTACTTGCCACTGACGTAGCAAAAAGCATAATTTTTACACAGCTGAAAGAAAATGAGCCATTCTATTCATCATTTATTAAAAGATCATTAATAAACATCTACAAATAAAAAAGTACTGAGGTTGTGGTATGGGATGTCTTTTTTTTCACTTTACTTCTCAGAGGTCTTTGTGCTGTCAAAATTCCCTGCTGGGAAAAATCACCATTCATGCAGGTAATGGCGAGTCAACTATTTCTTCAATCACAATGCATTCTGGGAGATAATGCATTCAGACAGTAAGTGTGCATGATTATATGCTGATTGCCTTGTAATTTCCTGCACAATGGCTTTGTTGCCAGTAGTAGCATTTTTCCAGACTTGCATTCTGCATATTTTTCATTTCCTTTTATTAACCATAAAAAATGTTAGCTATTGAGAGTTAAAATCCAACTTGTTTATATTAATATTTAAATTAATGTTCAACTTGGTTTATAATAATGTTTAAGAACATAAAAGTTTGAGTTTCAGATTACCAATTCTGGCTGACAAAAAAAGTATATTTATTCATTCACAATTATTCTTACAAATAAAACACATTTGTATATTTACATTCTTAACACACTATATACAAGTCTCAAAACTACATGATGCGGTCCGACAGCCACAGTATTGTAGTGTCAAACTGTTGTGAGTTTAGTCCTCCACTTGGCACTCACTGCAGGCGGAGTGATACACATAGGTGAAGAGGTTAAATAAGTGCTGATAATAGTAGTATATTGCACAGCTGTCAGCGAATTAGATTCAAGAACTGTTGTATAACTGTTACATGTACGTTGATTTCCCTTAAGACCTCTTAACTAAAAGTTGCACAAAGGTATAATAACATTAACAATATAAGGATTATAGATAATCTTTTTCTTTATGTACTTGGTTTATTGTTTATTCACAACCTAAACCCAGAGTAAATTAATAAATATGATATTTTTATTGTTATATTATAATATAACAATTCACTGCTTACGTAGCATTCTGATAAACCAAGAAGAGAGTCCAAAAATTACCATAAAATTCTAATTATTTCAGTTGGATATGTGATTGGGATTTAAAGCACATAGTAATTATAATTATTTAAAATATTCACAATCAGATAAATGATAACCAGGATATTATGCAATTATCCCTTCGTGCATATTTATGAAAGTGTTCACATTTTTTGTTCCCACTTCCTCATTTCATTTTTCATTTCTAACATGAAAGCAGTGGAATACTATTGTAGTAATGTAATTATTTAAATGTGAAATAATAAATAATAATATTACAACATTAGAATGCACTGCTCACCTAACACATCGCTGAGATAGCAGGACATTCTTTTAGTAGGAAGGCAATGCATGATTGGAATTGAAAAAGCATAATAATTCTAATTATTTTAAATATTCACAATCATCTTAATCTTCATTACATTCATATTCATCTGATGAATTATGACCAGGCCTATGATCAAGCCTAATTATAAAAAGTGTTAATATTTTTATGCACTTTTAATTTACAACCTGATCCCAGTGGAATATAAATCTACTGATACAATCACATCATTTTGGGGGGGATAATACAGAATTAGAATGCACTGCTCACATTACCAAATAGAGAGAGATCAAAATATTAATCCATTCACTTAACATTCCCTTAGCCCAATGCATGACTGGAATTTAAAGTAATTATTTAAGAAAATCACAATCAGACAAAATGTGAGCAGGAATTTATGCAACTATTGCTTCAAGCTTGATTATAGAAAGTGCTAACATGGTATTTCTGTGCGTGTACCTTGTCTAGCAGTGTATTCGTTGTCTTCGATTAGTCTAGCCAGGCCAAAGTCAGCAATCTTGCAAACCAGATTGTCTCCCACCAGGATGTTAGCAGCCCTCAGGTCTCTATGGATGTAGTTCATCCTCTCGATGAAGGCCATGCCATCTGCAATCTAGACAAGACAACAGGAAATCAAGCCTCCAGAAACTCACAGCAACCCATAGAAAAGCCAACCTGTCTCTCCACATCTTGTCATGGAAATGATATTTTAGTGGCACAGGAAAGTCACATTTTTTAAGATCCCTATTATCATTTAATTTTGGATATTTTTTCGATGAATAAATTAAAATCAGTTTGTACTTAAATCAAATAACAATAAAGACTACATTTTAGAAAAAAAAAAAAAATAAATAAATAGGAGTGAATGAATAGCACAATTGTTTACACATACTGAAGCACTTTGTGATGTGTGGTTTTTTCCAGTCAACCTCACTATAGGGACATTGTTTTTTGTTTAAATTTCACATAATTTTATTTGAAAATGCTATCGTCATGTGTGATCAAGAAAGAAAAGGCATTACACATCATCAATATAAAAGTTTAACTTGATGAAATTAACTAAAATAATCATAAAAAGCTAACAGTAATAATAAAATATAAAAATACCAAAGAATTAAGGTTTAAAATGTAATTTTAACAGAAATAAAATTGAAAATGAGGCAAAATAATGATTGAGCTCATAACACTGCTGTAAAAAATCAGAAATGCTACTGTAAAATGTTAAATTGTATTGTAAGTTGTGTGACGTTAGTTTCCATTTTAATTTCTAAAATATAATTTAAACATTAGTTGACTTGAGAAAAAGAGAAAAACAAAGACTAATTTAACAGAAATAAAAAGGGAATGGTCACTGTAAAATGTTCATTTTCAAAATGTTTCATTACTAAAATTAATGAGAGAAGCATTTTGATTTAAAAAATGTAATTTAACTATTAAAAAAAAAGAAAGCAGAACAAAAATAAAACGAACCGAATAAATGCAATCCAGAAAATCTTTAAAAGGCACAAAATCTGAATTTGGCAAAAATAAATTATAATTTAGGAAAACATACTCCGACTTCTTGCCTAAATGTATCTTCTAAAGGTCAAACGATCAATCTCATAAAAAATAATGTTGTGCTTTAACTTTCAGATGTGAAAACTCTAAATAGCTGCTGATGGGCAAGTCTCCAAGGCCGTACTCACACTAGGTACAGTGCCTCGAACCGGGCCAAAGCACACTTTTCCCCCCTCCCGTCTTCCCCGATGGCCCGCACTCACACCACAATCGGGCCTGGGCACGCTTACGTCATCGATGCTGCGCTGTTCAGTGAGAAGCGCTCTCACTCGTTCTCACTTAGCAGCACAGTGGAAATTTCTCTAGTTATATCGTTCCAGTCAGTTTGATATGCAGTGACATGCAGTCAAATATTTTGCCAAACAGTCCTTAGGGATGTGGTGACACGCAGTCAGATATTTCGCCGAACAGAACCGCCACTTTTGGGGCTCATAAACAATCGTAAAGCTTTTGTGCTGCAGGAATGAGGAGGTCTGCTGAAGGCGCAGCTGTCGTGCAGTGAGGGGTTTGCGTATTTAATAAGCTACGGCAGTTTGCGTTCACTGAACAGTAAGAATTATTAATAAATCCATATGAAACAGTCTCTTAAAAGTCACGTCTTGCTTTCAGTTTCGGGCTTTGGCGCGTTTTGCACTCACACTACAAACGTACCGCGCTCAGGCCCACCTCTTCCAACCGGGCCAGGGCCGGCAAAGTGAACCGTGCTTGAGCCCGATTCAGCGCACTCACTTCTCAAACGATTCAGGAAACGGGCCTGGGCACAGTACGGATGGCATAGTGTGAGTAGGCCCTAAAGCATGAAAACAGGTTGCTAAACAAGCTTAAAAGAGGAGAACTCAAAAATGGGAAGCAACATTCTTGAGGGAACGTAAGAAATAATCTCAGACTTAAAAGCTGTCCAAAAGGTTTTCATAAGCGTCTCCTCGCAAACTGTGATGTGTGAGGAAGATTGAAGCCTCAGCCAAGCTCAGTGGCAGTGAAGGGACTCAGGGAGACCAGAAAGAGAGAGGGATGGAGCAGTAGAGAGGATCGTGAGCGAGCAATGGCAAGCTTTTTAAGCGAACAGAGCAGAATTGAGTAGACACATTAAGTGAAGTGGCCCCACAGGAGTGGCGTTTAAGTGCTCCAGGCATTAGGCGGGAAATGAGGATCATAGAGCCAGAGAGAGATGTGTGGGCAGCAGGATGTCATATCAGATATTAAATAAATATGACAGGCAGATGGAATCTGAAACTGAAACCATGGCGCTCTGGGAGAATGCAGCCCATCCAGGTTCTGCTCATAATCGGGTGGATGTGTGTGTTACTAAATGTGGAAGAGGACGACAAAGCTGGCTGGTTAACAGTGCTTGGGTTTCTCTCTCTTACCTGGGCAGCCATGTCAACCAGCTGGGGCAATTTGAGGTATTTACCCTCACCCTCCTTCAAAAAGTCCAGCAAGCTCCCTGAAAGACAGAGGTATCGATTGAAGATCTTTCCAACATGTATTATAAATGACACTAGGCATGGGACGATAACCGTTCTTAAGGTATACTGTGGTTTGGAAAAATCTGTAATAACGCTTCTAATGTATATGTAAGATTTTTTATTTACATTTTTTTTTGTTGTTGTTTTTTAGGTTTGTTTATTTTTAAAAAATATGTAAAGATGCCGTTTCAAACTGTAAAAAAAAATCTGTGTTTTTAAAACAAATGAAAACATCAATGATTTATTTGAATTATATAGCCTGACGTGTTTACTGCTCCAAAATATCATAAATCTAAAAGAAAAATAGAATATATTGAGTTTTTTTTAAAGGGAAAAAAGTTTTAGTTTTTTTACCCAGACATTTAAAAAGAAGATATTTTAGAGCAGTGAGCACAATACCGTAATACCATGAAATCGAAATATTTTTATCCAAGGTTATCACACCGTCAGAATCTTATACCGGCCCATGCCTAAATGATACAAAGACAAGATATTTACAACATTAATTAAAAACCAACTATATAATGTAGCACAGCCTTTCGTAGCTAAAACACAACATTAAATATGATTATTTTGCACACATTAAAGAGAAAGAAAAAGGTACTGTGAGCTGCATCAGAGCGGAGTTCATTAACATTCATGACCAACCTAATATGGTCAATAAGGATTTTCTGATTGTGGTGCATTTTATGGGGGTAACAAACGAGTATATAAATTAAAACCATTTCTGGAGAAGGTTTGAACTTACCTAAGGCATATACCTACTCATGCAGATATCAGAAAACAATTTAACTTTTTGAACCAAAGCAGTATGTCACCTCTTAATAATAACAATTTTTTTAACTATTTCACATTTAATAGAATTTTTTTTTTTTATCTAAACGTAGGATTCATAAATATTATATTTAAACATATGATCTATAAAATAAATATATAATTTGTGTAATGGTGTTAACATTACTCTTGCGACAATAAATTTAGTACATTAAACAATAATTTTAGAACATCTTGCAGCTTAATATCCATTTTAATTTGTTTTCATGTCTCCAAAACGCAAAAAACGTTAAAAAAACCTTCCCTTTTTTATTATGGTGAATTGAGAAAGCCAACATACTGTTATACTACCAAAACTTATTCTTCTTCTTCCGTCTTCTTTTTCTAAGACTGTTAGGAACGCAACTCCAAACCTTCAAACTATACTGAATTAAGTTGCTATATCTTTTTCAACTGATCCAATTTTCGTTTTTCCAAAAACTGACCTGGAAAATTTGGACAAGTCCCACTGACTTAACATTGGACCAAACTTTGTGACTTAAGGTTGGACTCATACTAAATTCATGCTAATAACATGCTAGTTCATACTAGAAACATGCTAGCAACATGCTAATTATTATTAGAACTATGCTAACAACATGCTAATTTATGCTAGAAACATGCTAGCAACATGCTAATTCATACTAGAACCATGCTAATTTATGTAAGCAACTGCCTAGCAACTACTCAGAACACCCTAGCAACCGCCTAGCAACGTCTAAACAACCAGTCAAAACACCACAGCAATGCCTTAGCAACAGCCTAGCAACCACATAGAACACCCTGGCACAATCTTAGCAACACCTCAGAACACCCTAGCAAGGCCTTAGCAACCATTTAGAACACTCTAGCAACCACTTAGCAGCACTATAGCAACTACTAAGAACACCCCATAAACCACTTAGCAAGAAACATGCCAATCCAAACTAGAAACATGCTAACCTATATGTAGTTATCTATCTATGCCATCTGTTTCAAACTTCATCTGTTTCAAATCAATTTGTCAAATTACTATTGCATATTATTAAGTTGCTGCTGTGTCATTGCTTGAACTGATAAATAAACACACATGAAGAAAGTAAAGAAAGAGAGTGTCAGCTACCTTTGCCCATGTATTCAGTGACAATGTAAATTGGCTCTTCAGACACAACAGCATACAGCGGAACGAGCTTATCATGCCGGAGCTTCTTCATGATCTGGGCCTCCTGCAGGAAGGCTTCGGGAGACATGGTGCCCGGCTTCAGGGTCTTAATAGCTACCTTAGTCGTGCCATTCCAAGTGCCTAGAAAAAGGGAAAAGAAATTAACCCTAAATAAATGCAGCACTTTGGTAAATCGAAAGTATCAGGAATGATTTGATTTAAAAACCTAACGATAAAGAAATGTGGCTGAGGAAAACACACACACACACTCTTACAAATACAGTCTCTCTCACACACACACACACACACACACACACACACACACACACACACACACACACACACACACACACACACACACACACACACACACACACACACACACACACACACACACACACACACACACACACACACACACACACACACACCTTGTTTTTGAGAATACCGTTTAAACAGCCATGGCACAGACTGCCAATTCATGAGAGAATGGTTATGTGGAAGCTATTGTGCATGTTGAAACAAACATACACAAACAATAAGAGAAATTCCTCACATTGCTGATATGAGGTGACATGCCGGAGCTTGCAGCAGGACGAGTTTACTAGAGATGATGACAGACAAATACCTAATAACACCCTTTTACACTTCACTCTAGTATATAAACTCTGCTGTATTTTTGCCATGTAGAAAATTTTGAATGAATCTGAAGTTTAATGCGCAAGTCTGTTTGTATAGTTCAGCATTTTATGTGAGTGACAGCCGCATTCAGTAACTGAATTAACTCCTGACAAACGCATTGTGACAAACACACTGAAAGAAACTATGCAGTATGTATGGCACATAACAACGAACTGTTACTTACATTTAAACACTTATTAGAGCAGAGTGTCCCATTTGCATGCACACAATACAAGAAAGTCCCAGAAAAAGAGGTACTAGACCTGACTTGTTTGTGTTGCCAGGTATTGCTTGAAAAATACAGTACAATAATAAACTTAATTAGGTACAAAAGATTTCTTCTGAAGACAAGACCAAAGTATCATAACTTGCACCTTCCTGCTTTCAAAACTCCATCAACTCTGTTTATGTGAGTATCCTAAACAGTAAGCCCAAAGACATTTATAATAAGTGGACATGGCAACACTTCAAGAGCACACTGTGTAAAACCTTAAACATTAACACAGTATAACGCTTCTGTTGACAATAAATTGGTTAAAACTACAAATCAAAATGAATATTTGGTTTATGTAATATTACTTTTGTTAAAAAATATCAGATACCAAAGGCTTGAGATGCCAGATAATTGCTGTGGTTTCAGTATGGTGTAATTTAGGGATTCACTTCAGTATTTAAATGCTGTAGTCACTCCTAACACTTTATAATGTTTATAAGTCTGTGCAGGTGTAAATATTGGTGAACTGACAATGTATAAAGCACTTTGGCTAAATAATAGTTGTAAATTATTAACTGAAATTAGGGTGTGTGATATTTATGGAATACAATAATTATGGTAATTGCGGCTCTAATAATGTGTGAGCTGACAAACACACAAACACATCTTGAAAGGATTGACTGTATGATGAAGTCTATAAAAATGGCACTATAATATGAGTTATGAAAGCAAAAAGTAGTGTATTGGTTTTGCTTTTTGTAATATGTTAAGACATGTAATACCAGCCTGATCTCACAAAGGAAAGTAACTATTTTTTGCTTTGTCAGTTTACTGGCTAATTCACATTTTAAAAATGAGGCATGCCGCCACACCCAACACAAACCAACCGTCACTGGAGATGAGCAAATCGTACTAAATTATACGAATGAGGTCGTAAATATTCACACAAATTAGCCACTAAATCAATCAGTGATTCGAATCGCAGTGAGATTGTGTTGGTAATACAAAAGTCATTACATGCACAAAGTGTGGTTTTCTCCAATATCAGCGAGCATCATCGCATATGTTGTTTTGATTTTATTCCGCAGTTTAACAAACTGGAAGTTAAAACTGAGCGGGTTTACATATTGTATATGAGTTTTTTTTAAAACCCAAACAAAGTAAGAGCAGAACAACTACCAAACACTACCACTGTGGTGTTTTAATCCTGAATGAACCTGTTTTTAAACAAACAGAGCAAGTCAGTAATTCTATCACTCATTCATGAAGACGGTGGTTGTTTCTTAATATGCTTTCTTCACCGGTTTTGTGTCTTTATGTTCTCATGTAATGCCAACATCAGCTGCCAAAGTTCAGTTCTAAAACCCAAGACCGCAAGAACAGAGGATGCGTGAGAGTTCCCGCATATCTTCTTAATATCGAGGATGCACTGACTTGAACACAAAACTCCCCCGAGAAGTCCCAGAAGTCATTGCAGCTGATCCTGAATAAAGAAGGTGGGAAGCACAGAATTCTATACATGTTTATTATTAAAGTTCCGAAATATAATTTATTTATCTCAGAAGTTTTCTCAAATGACACAGTGAAAGTAAACATTACCATGAAACTCTTAATAAAGTTATAAACAAATTAAGGATGTATATTAGCTAAATTTTATATTAAAACCGGTTTTATTTGTATTGTGCAAAATACATTTGTAAGGTTTTGTGCATGTTATATATATTTAAAAGGGAAAAAACAAATCATTGTATTAATGCTGTAATGTTTAAATAATTTTCCTTTAAAATGCATGAAGGTCATGTGACCATCAGGAAAAACGCAGCATCTCATTTCTTAGAGGAAGCGATGTGTTCTCACTGTCTCCCGAAATCGTTCTTCCGAGGTAACCTGGCAAGAACAGTCTCCTTGAGAATGCAAGTTTGTTCTCTGCATTCATGGAATTGAGAAACAGCCAGTGACTTGCATAAAAAAAATCACTTTAATAAATGATTCTGTGAATCACTCAATGAGAAGAACCTGCCATAACCTTTTGGTTCCATATTATAGTGCCATATTTATCCATGAGTAGCCTAAAACAGCCAAGATACCAGCACAAAAAAACAATGTTCAATTATCAAACCTCACTTAACCTGAAAAAAAGAAAGAGATCACCACTCTAAAAGTGTTGAAGTTTAATCAATCTAAGGGTAATTCATCTAAGGGGAAGATCTTAGTTGGCACTTTTATTTATCATTAGTAAACAAATCTCCCAAAACATTAAGATGCATCTATTAACACCAAAATGTTAGTTAAAATGTGAGCTCTCTAGCTGTATTTGCATGTCTTACCCATCCAAACCTCTCCGAAGCAGCCCTGACCCAGCTTAAGCTCCAGACGCAGTGACTCTCGAGGTATTTCCCATGCATCTTTAGCCAGACCCTGAGTTTGGGGCTTCACCGTCGGACACACTGTAGTGAGTCGATAACACAGCCCATCTGCATGCTCTACAAACACACACAACACAGTGATGTCAGAGTGAGCTCTCATAAAACTAGGTAAATGAGAGTAGTAGTTTCCCTTAAGCCAGTAAGGTAAATTATACCCAATTGTAGACAACACAGAATTGTCAAGTCAAATCTCATAAAGTAGTAAAAGTAAAATGAGATGTTCTGAATTAAACAAGGTGTGTGTTATGTTCACAAATTTCACACAATAGGAGATCATAAAAAAGCAAGGCTACTAAATGACCTGGTAAGGGTAAAAGTCATTAATTCATCACTTATCCAGCTTTAAAGCCCATTAGTCACTGTCTTTCAACAACAAGATTAAAACCTTTACGAAGCAGGTTGCATAGCGAGTGCTAGACAAGGACTGATGGCCTTTCATTACGCCTTGACATTCTTCAGATAAGACGAATCTGAACAGCAAATTTGTTACTTTCACAGGCCCTCTGCGACAGTTTGTGTGAAATGCCTGACAGAAACAATTTATCGATTTTTTATTTAATTAAAATATATAGACATTAAAAGTGACCCGGACCCCCTTTATACAGATTATAACCACCAAGAATGCATTAAATTGATCAAAATAGATATAAAATTAAACTCTCTATTTATCAAAAAAATTAGGATTTATTTTAATTAAAAGCAGTACAATACCATTCCATAACATGCTCAAGGTAGGATGTATTTTTGAGTTTAATAACAAGATGGAGGGAAACATTTTAAGAGAAACTGAGTACAGAAAAGGAAAAAAAAACTTAACTTGGGGGCGTTGAAGAACTTCTATTTAAAGTCTTCCAACCATTTCTATACTGACGTCCCTTTGTAGGTGGTGCATTGTAATGCTAGAACAGAATAGGTACACACTGTTCTACTGTAAATGTTTGTCTAAGGAGATGGTAAGGCTGTATGATTAGGAGAGTAACAAATGACGTACTACATGCTATGTAGATACAATAATCAGTCAACTATCTAGTGTATAAACTTAAAGGTATTTTGTGTATAAATTGTCCATCATTTTACACATTTTCCCATTTAATAAACATGATTTCTACAGGTTTAAAGTTAAATTTAAGACTTTTAAAACCTTTTTTAAGACCATTTTAAGACCATAATGATTGAAAATGCAGGCTTAAACAAGGTGCTAAAACGCTAAAGATTATTAAATGGCCAAGTTAAAACCTGAAAAACAAATTTAAAAAGAAATGTTATTGTAAGGAAGATAATTAGGCCATATTAATAAGTAAACAATTAATAAATAAACCTTTCTTAAAGCTTTTATTGAAATATATCAATACTGATTGGATGGGTAGGCGTAGCTTTACAACGGACATAGGAAAATTAAGACACGCTAAAAATTATTTAAAATGTACAACACAATATTTCAGTGGATTTAAGACTTGAGGCCTAAAATGTAAGACTTTTTAAGACCCTGCATATACCCTGATAAAGTTTAGCACTTTCAGGTCATTTAAAGTGCATGTCTTCCTTTCCTTTCCTCATTTACAGTAAGTATTCAAAAAAGACAGAATACAATAGTGCATACGTATTCAGATTGCGATGCATCTATAAACTCTATTGACATGCTAGCAATAAGTGTGGCAAATAAAAGACTGAATCATATGGACTTGAAGGAAACTATGTTGGTGTTTATGCTTATAACACAGTACCTTTTACTGACGGGTTAGGGTGGGGGCTGATGGGAGAGTAACCTGTACTATAAAAACGACTGTATAAGAAGAATGTAATAATTGTATGTGATGCCTCTGGTGATCTGTTTGTTCCGTTATGTTAAAACGAATAAAAAACAAAAGTTAAAAAAAAATAAAATAAAATAAGTGTGGCAAAAAAAGCTAAAAATGTTGATTAAAATGATGCCACATACTTTACCATCAGATTGCTTAACTCAAACTAAATGGCTAGTGCTTGAAGGTGACTGACGTGATCTACAAAAGCGCAGGTAGGACACTCACGTAACGTCTCATAAGATCAAAGAGGTGTGGATGTCAGAAGGCCTCTCAGACATTCTCCTGTGTAAACTAAGCCAAGATTAACTGACAGTCTGGGTGAACGGGGACATGTTTCTCTCAGCAGATGTCAGGCACCTGTTAGCGCTAGTCACAGCGAGAACCCTAGGCTTCAAATCACCATGACACTTCTGTACTCCACACAACGCCTCTGGCCATGTCATTGTTTGTATTAAACTATTAATGTACATTTGAACTGAAAGAAAGTACAACAAACTATTGTTTCCCTAGGACTACCCCTCACATTTTGGGTCAATTTTTTTAAAGGGCACCTATGATGACAATCAACTTTGTGTGTGTAGGTAGAGTGTGTTTACAGTCATATTGGAGTGATTTAAAGACAATAAGTCTCTTTTTTTGTTTTATTTCCTGATGAATACATTTTTTTTAAATAAAATTGGATCCAAATGCCTCCCATTTTGAGGCCCACAACAACATGGCATAGGAGTGCAGTTTCCCCACCTACCGATTTGTAGTGTAACGCATATCCGTAGTAAAGCATATATGTAGTAATATCATATCAACAAGACAGAACGTGTGCAAAGCAACTGGGATTAAAAGATTTGTTGAGCTCTCTGTGATCATCAATCATCATCAAATGCGATCAAGAATAAATTTTACAAGCTAAAATGTTTTTAAAACAGTTCAAGTTTGTAATGAATTACGGCGATTTTACCGTCTTTATCCGTCAGTACAATTACAAAAGAAGATGCTTCAAGCCTGGTTTGTGGATGTTAAATGATGTTTATTTTGTACATTAACATAACTGAGCAGTGGATATTAATGTTTATCCTATCAAAAACGTGCCAGTTAAATGCGCGTGCTGTGTGTAACTTGGTGATGACATCGTTGTGACTCACCGTTGCGAAAAGGCTTGAATTAACTCCAAAACAAATACATTAAATAATCATTGGGAAAGTTCTTACTGTAGTATTTCTCACAAACGTTAAGTGAGATCTGCTTCATGTCTGTCACTGTGCTGTTTATCTGACGCAACCAAGGTGGAGATTGAGGTACACTCTGACAGGCAATTGGGAACGATGGGCGGGGAGAACTAGCACAGGCACCAAAAACAGCTACAAGGTATTCAAGCAGAAAATTCTAATATTCTGAAAGGTTTAATAAACAATCTGATGGGTGGTTTGAGTTAAAACTTTACAGACATACTCTGGAGACACAAAAGACTTCTTAAATCTTAAAAACGGGTAAAATAAGTGCCCTTTAAATCTGCTAAGATGCAAAGTGACCTATATAAATAATTACAAATGATTTTATTTTAAATAAATGCAGTTTTTTTGAGCTTCCTATTATTTTTCAAATTAAGCAAAATGTTTACACAAATATATTAGGAATAAAGTTTTTAACTGATAAGTTTTTCAAATTTCTTGAGCACCACATTAACATATTACAATGATTTTTGATGGATTTATAGAATGATTTAACTTTTCAAGTTTAACTTTTACAACACAACTAAAACTTCTAGTGTAAACATTAAAGATCTGATTATATGGTGATTTTATGCATTGCATTTGTAGAAGAAAAATATTTGGAGTAGAATTAATCTCTTATTTAATAGAAGATGTGACTTCTTAATTTTTTGTTGGTCAAGGGCAAAAGTTGATACTTTTTTTTTTATTAAATCTGAACTCCTTTCCTTAAGTATGTACGTAGGGCCCAGGATTTCAGGTCCTTTTTTGCAAACCCTTAGATCAGTGGTTCTCAAAGTGAGGGTCGGGACCCCCCGAGGGGTCGCCTGACAATGAAGGGGGTTGCCTGGTGATTTCCAAAAATCTATTTATTTTTATTAAACCATAAGAATTACCGTATTTTATCCATGACCTACTGAGGAGAAAAATTTGTCGTTTATAATTACTATATAGTTACTATAAAGACAAAAAAAATCTAATTATGCAAAAAATACAAAAACTGCATGCTGTGTAACACTTTTACATGTTAAATTGAAAAATTTAACCGAAATGAAAGCTATTTTTGACAGCCTTAAAGTATCATAGCACCTTTTTATTTTTAAATATGTACATTTTACTGACCTAAAACGTTTGAAGACAATACACAATTGAACCCATAATATTATATAACTTCAGTATGACTCAAAATGTTGGCACAGCTGAACATGCTAACCTGTGTAATGCTTCACCAGTTTCTGTAGGGTGTCAAACTGAGCCCTTGTGGTGATGTAATAGCCTCCGCTGTCAAGCTTTCGGATTTTGTAGTGTTTCACGTTGTCTCCCTTCATCTCATCCCAGTCTCGTATTGAGAGAGAGTAAGCTCCTGCCAGGAGAGTGAGGAATGGATTAAAAATAACTCTGCTTTGGTTGCACATGTCTTAAGATGAATTGCGGTCTACTTACCTTTAGTGGTCTCACTTTCTCGGACTAAAAAGGTGCCCCGTTGGTTTCCGGGAAGAAGCAGCAGTCGCTCAGCATCTTTACGACCCATTTTCCCAAAGTACCATCTGTGAGGTAAAGATAAATATATTGGTCAGCCATCTTAAATTGGTTTGGAATGTGGTGGACCAACCATTTTGATCATTCATTTTTAAAACTCATTTATACTTTTATTTGATATATGAAGTCTTCATAAAGGATTTACTTCAATACTTCTTACTGTATTTTTTTGGTGCAACATTAAAATATATTTTAAAAAGACACCAACTGAATTCAATGGAAATGATTTACAGAAATGAACTGAAATTAAATCTACATTGTTATATTAGTGATACCCATAATAAAAACTTATTTATTGCATCTTTTTCATTGCAACATAGCCAAACTTGGTCGTGGAGGGCTGGTGTCCTGCAGAGAGTTTGGTTCCAACTCCAATTAGACACACCTGAACCAGCTAATCAAGCTCTTTTCTAGTTATACTAGAAACTTCTAGTCTGGTGTGTTGACGGATGTTGCAGCTAAACTATGCAAGACACCGGCCCTTCAGGACCGAGTTTGTGCACCCCTGTTTTAGTACAACCTCTATATATGTAAGAATGTGTATACCTAAATTGACTGTGCTATGTCAATACGTTTAATCTCCACAAAACAGAACAATTGTGAATACATACATAAAACTAAACACCTTAAAGCAGTGGTTGTCAATCCTGGTTCTTGCCGATTATTTTGCATACCTCTTTTGCTTAACACACCTGATTAGAAGAGAGCTCCAACAAGAAACTGTGCTAAGATGGACATGTTCCAGTCCCTACATAGTGTTCCACTGGCCTCTACCTCTGTACATGGGAAATTAGCTGAACTTGAAGTTTACTTCATGTTTACATCCTGTGAAGTGCTTTGAAATGTGTATTTTTATTTGAAATGTCCCGTAATCTCTATTGAAACATTAAGACCCCTTTATAAAAAACAGTCAACAGCATTTCGTTTTTATAATAGCTCTGCCAGTTAGTGACTGAGATAAACCACATCAAATAAGAAGTAAATGAAAAGCCTCTTGAAAGGACATTTCAGATGTTAAAGAGCATTTGATTAGTCAGAAGATTTGATGAGAAACTGAAAAATGATGTGATGTCAAAAAATTATTTAACCATTAAAGCGTCTTCTTCTAAATTTTCAAAGAATTTCTTAAAACTAAACAAGAAGAAGCAAAAGCCGAATCAAATGTTGGACAATTTATCCGATTACATTAAACCATCTCTAAGAAATCTAGGTTTTATCCTTGATTCTGCTTTTGTTTGATAAACAGGTAAATGCAGTAGTTAAATCTTGTTTTTCCAGTTGAGATTATCAGCCAAAGTGAAAGGCTTTTTACGCTTGGACTACTGTAACGCAATTTATGTGGGTATTGGCCAATCTCATATAAATGGAATTTTCAAGTGATCCAAAATGCAGAGATATTGGGATTCAAAGTTTTTGCATTCCATATTAAACAGTATGTGTGTAACATTAGTTTTTTTTTAAATAAAAAATCTTAAAATGTAAACAACTTATAAAAAACATCCCATAATGTAAATAAGCTTACATTTAGTAAGAATATTTCAATAACTCAATTTTGACAAAAATTGTCAGTTAGAACCTTATAATTCTAAGGTGACGAACAGTTGTTTTATTGTACTTTATGAATAAATAAACTAAGCTAAACGTGTTTTTGTCATTGTTTTGGAGCACACTAGCTTATACATATCATTTAAACAAACATACTGATGCAAACATAAAAAAAAATTATTTAATTTTGGTCACCATAGCAACAAGTGAGGTTAATTGATAGAAAATAAATTAATTGATAAATCTACAAAGAACAAAATAAAAACAAAGCTTTTACAAAGAGATATAGGAGAACATGGATAAATGGAGCTAGAGAACAGACCAGTATGAAAGAAGAAGTACAGCAGAGAGTCAGACGTAAAGTTTGTAACTGAAAGAGAGTCTTTTGTCTGACAGTCAGTCACGCGTTTCTTGGTGTGTTTGTCAGCACCAGGGCTCTGGGCGTTCGTGTGACCGGCCATCACGCTCTCTTAATTACGGCGTGAAGGGATAAGATGACTGGATGAGCACAGGAGGAGAGGAGTTACTTACTCTTCCGCCTGGATGGAGTCTGCAGGGGCCACGTAATTGCTGGGAATGTAGCCCTTCTGGCCCGTGTTGATGGAGCGAGCCTCCCACCAGTCACCCTCTCTATGGGCCCAAAGATAGAGGGAGAGAGAGGGAGGAAAAAAGGTTTATGTCCTTCAACAGCACAAACAGAAAACAACTTAAAAAACAAGAGCCTGCAGGCTGTTAGCAACAACATAAAATGCAGAATAGCAAAGGAATGAAAGGTATATGATTAAAATGTCAGGGTCATTAGACCGGGTGAGGGGATTGGATGTTGAGCAGTGAGCGTTCACTGAAAGCTAAACATGCTGGTGGTTGAGCAGATGGGCCATTATGGAAATGCATAAACTCTGACAGGATTTTGCCCTAAACATTTATGAAATACAATGGAATATATATATATATTTATATATATATATTTATATTTATATATATATATATATATATATATGACTGGTTTTGAAGGATGTGACCTCAGATGTTATTCGTTATTCTTGTTTACCCAGTAGATAACTGACCAACAAAAAATACATTAAAATTAAGATACAAATTTTACCAAACAAAAACATCATTTTAAAAATATATTTTTTTCAAGAAAAATATATAAATTATATTTTTGTTTGTGCCCGTCCACTATTCGGATGATTTGTTTTACTCAATGAAAATAAGTATTTAATGCTTTACAGTAATTGTTTTATCAAAAACCTGTCAAATATTTAAAAAATTTTTTAACATGTCATTATTTTAAATATTATGTCTTAGGTATCTGATGTTTCCTTGCTGCTGATAGGCTTTTATTTTCTCTGTCTCACTTGCAGCAAGTTCAGGCGAGGGTGTGTTAAATAAGCAACCCTGGCAAAAAAATATACATTTAGATTTATAAGAAAATTTCTCAATACATTTACATTGTATATAATGTATATACATTTGATTCTATCGATGTCATAAGGAATGTAAATAATATAAATATATAAATAATGTAGCCTAGTTGTCAGCAACAATGAGTGTTTATTAAGATTGACATAAGATTAAAAAAACATTAAAATTAATGATAAGAAATATTGTTATAGCAACACTTGTGACTGCTTTGAGAAATAACGCTCATCGTACACAAAACGTATAGTCTGGCACATTTGTTACCCACGACAAGTCAAGATAAAAATTGCATAATCTGACATAGTGACTTTCGTAACCAACAATTTAAAAAAAATTGTGTGATCAGTTTTTATTTTGATCACAAATATTATAAATATATTCAGTATGTGTAATACATTAAATATATATATATGTATATATATATATATATATATATATATATATATATATATATATATATATATATATATATATATATATAATTTTATTTATTTTTTTTTTTCACCAGTGGTTATCCACATAAACAACTAAAAAAGGGACACGCTAAGAAAATTTATCAACTAAATTGACCGAGTTTTCTTGATTAATACGAAAAGCATAACAGATAATTTTTCACATTCAAGAACTACAAGTCTCTCATTAAAAATAACTGATGGTATCGAACATAACAACACATTTCACTTCTGATCACAATTTTCCAGAGCCAAAACAAAAAATAATCCCAATGGTCCTCTTAATCGAAGGACTCACGTGTTGTTGATGATTTGAAATCTATCGCCTTTACTGAAGGAGAGGTCATCTGATGTCCTGGCTTCATAATCATATAAGGCCACAAAGAATGTTACGCCACCTGCAAGAATAATAATAATAATAAAAAAAACAACTCAAGTTAAACGCTTAACACTTGGTTGAAATCACAGTCTCACAAAAGCAATACCATAACAGTACGCTAATAGCTAGTTAGCGGCTCCCAGGTAACTTCATTTGTCATTGGAAATGTGGCATCAGATGCTATTCCAGCCACATAATAGAGTTTAGTTAAGCATTTATAGACATGCTGAATGACGAGTTTATTGATTTTTGTTTGCTCGCTCGCCTCTGCAGTCAGCTATCATTAGCCTGCTCGCCTTGACTATGTAAACAATGGAATTTTCACCAGTGTGTGGATGGTTCAGTATGGTAAAATGGAAACATGGTAGAAATTAGATGGTTTTAACTAGTGATGCACTGATCTTGATTTTTTTTAAGGCTGATTTCATTTGCCATTTTTTTTTACAATGATTTAAACAAGAATGGTGTTAAATAAAAAAATGAAAAGCATAGCATGGAAAGAGAAAACCCTTTTTGGTCTAAGCCTCCCAACACTACTAATAAACATTAAGTTATTCTTGAACATATCTGTATCTGCCTGTAATGGTTAAAATAGACTTCATTAATTATGCAAGACAATAACCCTACATAAAACACAAAATGGAAAAAGCATTAATGCATTAATAGATGTAGGAGCTAAATATAGCAACAGTGAACAGTTCAAAGAGAAGTTGTGCTGCTGTCATCTCTACTTTATTATCTTTTGTTATCTTAAACTGCCATTTCACACAAAATGGGGGAAAAAAAAATTAAACAAATTTCTTCCAAAAAATGGGACTAAATTCAATCAGCCAGAATTGATATAACCTCATTTTATGTTCAGTTTTGCTGTGTGACACTAACAGACAGAAAAAAAAAAAAAATCTCATCAGATCTAAACAAATCTCATAGATGGCAGATTTGGATGTAAAGAAGATGAATTTTCACCAAAAGGCGAGGTTATATTACAAACAAATTGGCTGATTATAAAAAAAAAAAAAAAGAAAAAACTGCCGGTTGTCAAATCATCTCTAGTTTAAAGTGGGAGGGAAAACAAAAGCAGTGGGAAGGATTAAACTGAAGCAGGCCCCCGAGCCTGGATTATCCATTAGTAAAGAACAGAGGGCAGGCTGGCTGCATCCACCATGCCACACACACGCACACATACACGCACACACAGAGAACTGCCAATTCAAGAAGCCTGATGGGTATGATGAGTGAATTGGTGCTGTCGTTTCCGCTGTTGCGTTGTTAAATGGGATCAGGTTTAAACCTGTTGATTTCTACATCAATAAATTAAATCGAAACTTCTATTATACCTTCAAATATCACTTGTAAGAGTTGAAGGAATTCATGTAGTAAGACGAAAATTTGAACATGATAAAATAATGATGGGACAGTAGCCCATCATGTTGAAATGTTCAAAAATGCTAATTAAATTCATGCTCAAAACTGGAATATCGCATAAAAGATGTGCGAATGAAGCAAGGTTTCCATCAAACATGTCAAAAAACAAAACAAAATGATCACTTCCGGATAATTTGACGCCAAATATCAACAGTAAAAACATAATTTGCTGCGGTAGGAGAAACTGTGTCAATCTTTTCTTTATTTAATAAATGACTTGCACCTCAGAAGGCAATCCTGACATGCAAGGAACGTGTTTGAAGGTGTGAGATGCAGAACACAGATGCTCTTGACAATTCTTGAGGTAATTAATAATATAACAACACATTTTAGAAGGACCAAAAAGAACATTTGCAATGTTTAACAATGTGGTCAGTCTGCTGGTTTGTCCATTCGCATACATTTTTTTATCATTACATGATCTCTTTTAACAATCACATTACTTTTTTATAGCGAATACTGGAATTTGTTTGGTAAAAGTGTTTCCATCATAGTTTATGCACATTTTTTCTTATTGAATAAAAAGTTTATCCTACTCAGTTTTGCAAATTTGTTATTTATGTGCATTATTAAAATTTATGCACATCTTGGCATTTCCATCATTCTTATGCACAAATCCAAAACGTGCATAAAAATAGGTGGATGGAAACATAGCTACTGAGTAGCTCCTCTTTTTTTAATGTTAAATGCCAATAAATGACATTTCAACTGCAATAATATTCTTTTAGGGGGCAAGACGTGTCAGTAAGTAAGGAGAATTTGAGATCTGAAGTATGATATCATATAAAAAAACATTCTGAGAGAAGTGAGAAACTTCAAGCTTTCTAAATGTAAATTTTGTCTCTGCTTTGGAGCACACAAGCTTATAGATAGATACTAACACTTTTAATATGCCTGAAAAACCAAGACCTTTTAACTGAGTTTATCTTTTAGCCTCTCACTTACATTGACAAAATCCTAAAAATTCAGCAGATTTTCCCTATAAGGATATCAGACTGCACGCTGCCTGAAAAAGCAACTCTATGAACAGAGCTCGCCGTGTGACAAGACATGATGTGATAATTACACTATTTATAATTTGACTGAATAAAAACTGTGCCGTTTACAGACTACACACAAAGATCTGATTATTTGGGTATTCTACTTCAGACACACATGGCATTTATACTCTGAGAGAGAGAAAGAGAGGCTTGGTATCAAGAGATCTCTTCACAGCGCTGCCTGAAGCAGAACAGAGGAATGATCACTGAACAAAAGAAGAATAAATCACATTAGTTCTTCACTGTTATTTAGGCCTACTGCCACAACTGCAGTTTGTAATTCTGATTTAATGAAACACACTGGCTATATTGTTTTAGTGGTTTCATTTACATAACATTAGACTTCCATGAACTCTGTCATTCCATTACAGTGCTTATGCACACACAAACACAACACCAAATAACCTATCCCCATGGTGAAAATTTGAATAAGCTCTGCCACAATTTACCATGAAAATAAATGACATTGGATTTGTGGAGAGCTAATATATGTTTTTCTTAAAATCAGTACCGCACAGTAAAAAAATATTATTATTATTAAAAATTGAAATAATACCATTTGTATTAATAAAATACAAATAAAAAACAAATATTAACAGCATTTTCATTTTAAAGGCATACTTCACCCAAAAATGACAGTAAATTATGACAACTTATGGGTGAATTATCCTTTTAATCTCTTTAGTACAGCTTCAGAAGCATAACTAAAAATGAAATAAAATTTGAACATGCCCAATTTCTAAATCGCCTTACAGCACAATTTTCCCACAGTATGGTATTTAAACCAATCATAAAGCAGTGCGCCTGAACAGATGCTCGTTGACCATCAACCATTTTCTCAGAGGAAGACAAACTAGGCCATTTACACTAACAATTAATAATATATTTACTGTATATAGCGCTTTTCTAGACACTCAAAGTGATTTACACATAGTGGGAGGGCATCTACCTGGATGATGCGATGACAGCCATTTTGCGCCAGACCGCACACCAGCTGAGTGTTGGAGAAGACAGGGTGATGAAGCCAATTATGATATGGGGTGGGTTAGGAGGCCATGATGGACAGAGGCCAGTGGTCAAATTTGGCCAGGATGCCGAGTTAAACCCCTACTCTTTTCTGAACGACCACAGAGTGTCAGGACCTCAGTTTAACATCTCATCCGAAAGACGGCGTTTACTGAGCAGAATAGTCAGAGTCCCCATCAATATACTGGGTCGTTAGGATCCACACAGACTGCAGGTTGAACGTTCCCTGTTCACTAAAATCACTTACGGCAGCAACCTAGCTTTCCTATGTGGTCTCCCATCCAAGTACTGACCGGGTGCAGCTCTGCTTAGCTTGAGAGTAGCAGAGAGTTAGCTGCGTTTTGTGTGTACCTCAGCAGTAAAACTCTAAATGTAGGATTTCTTGACTCAAACTTAATGGCAAAAGTATATGGCATCCTTTCAATCAACATTTTTAGCTTTTTTGCCACATTCATTGCTAGCATGTCAATAAAATCTATAGGTGCGTCCCAATTTGAATATGCATGCACCAGAAAATGTGGCTGTTTATACTAATGCATTTCCGTTTTAAAATGAATAAGTTTTGCTACAGTTATGCCTTCTATCCAAACTAATCCAGAGTTTTCAAGCGTTGAAAACGGAGCATTTTGGAAACGCTTAAGAGGCCATTTTCACTTCAATGCTACTGCTCTGTGCCAGTGTGGATGGGGGAAAACGGAGCCATCTGAAAATGGAGGCGTGGCTACAGACATTCGCTTATCTGATTGGGGCTTTCCTCAATATTAAGTGGCCTAAACAAAGTTCAGTCTTGCATCCTCTTCTTGTAAGTTCAGACTTCGCAAGTTTGACATGGAAAACAAACTCCCAAGGACACGTCAGGTAAATCTTCAATAGGAACAGTGTACTTTATAACGTCATTAACATCACCCTGGCTAGATTGTTTCACTTTCTTAACAATAACATGAAAACATGATATGAGGAAATGTTCATTTTCATTTTGATATTAACTTAACAGACACCAAAAATTTTAAGGCGTCGTGTAGCTACATATGGGGTTCTGTGCTCACAGCACCCTCCGCCTGGAGCACAGATGCGCGGATAAGGTGCAGCGCATGCCAGAGTGTGTGTTTATGTGATGTGCATTTTTAATAGTGGATGGAGAGCTGTCCAGAAACGCTTGGTGAAATGACAACGTAGACGTGGATTGTTTTTATTCTGAAACTCCATTTTAAAACTAAAACATATTAGTGTAAACAGGACCAAACAAAACATTGCTGTAGCTCTGATACAAGTTTTATGTATAGAGAGAATTGAAAAGCACTTAATGTTCAGGTGTCTTGTGTTCGACTGGGGTAAGTGAAATGTGTATATTTTATACAAAGTATGAAGCTGATCGATCAGTTCTTGTTACGTGACTCATGGTGCGGCATTCTGAAACGTTCAATTTAAAATTTGTCTGATAATAGATGTTTTTAGCTGGATGCACCAGGCATACTTGTGTGTGCCACTCTCAATATGTGCATGCAATCCACACTCCATTAGATATAACGGACTTGTGTGTGCAAAAGACAATGTATGTGAATGACCTATTTCACGGCAGTGTCACAAAGAGGTCTATGATCTATGCATGACAAAACAAATCTGTGAACACACGCAACTACTTCTGATATTCGGTCAAGCAGAACATCAGAGCCTTACTTGAGCTGAACGGCGCACGCACTCACTTACACACACACATTTGTTTTGCCATTAGTCTGTTTTAGACACAATTTGTTACAGCTTTACTAGGTGATTTTTATTTCATTTCATGTCTGTTTTAGAGATGTTAAAGGTCTTTGATAAAAATCTAATTGCTTTTCTTTTGAAATGTGTTTCAGATTCACACTGTAAACATAGATTCAGTCTGTCTGTGACAAAATTGTGATTAAAATTGAAATCAAAACATTGTTCAAGAAAAAGAAGTATAATTGTCTTGTTTTGTCACAGGAAAACAAACACCTCTCTGCGTAAGTTTTTGTGTATGCATGCAATTCTGAGTAAAGCTCTGAGGCCTGAAATGGGGAAAAGCCTAAATCTGCAATCCAAAAGAACACACCTGCTATCAGACATCTGCTCCAGCTTCTTAGGAATTCTAGTTTCCCTAAACAAAGACAGTTGAAGAGTTCTTATCGCTCTTATCCACCCACCTGTGACGACACCAGGAAAAGGGTTGTTCACTGCCACCGTGGAGAAGGAGGACGAGGCTCCACCGAAGGGTGTGATGACAGAGGAAGAGCCACCGAATGGGGTGAGACCAGAGGAGCGGCTGTTATAGTTGTTGGTGGGACCCTTCAGGGCTGGTGACTGACCCATCTGAGTAGGGTCTGGTCCATAGAGGCCCATGTGTGACCCAGGGGTGGGATTGGTGGGATCTGGTCGGTACTTCTGTGTGGGACCCTTGTCCTCTTTACTCTTGACACAGCCCATAGTCAAGCCTGTCAAGAAGGAAAGAGTTAATATTAATCAACACTCAAGGCATTTTTTTTGCAGAGGAACACGATATTGACCTATCAAAGCAATTGTTTATGGCTGCAATTGAAATAATGTAATACACAACATTTTTCCAAGATAAATATCAAAAATTTTAGAAAATATTTTATTCATATGATGGCAAATATACATTTTTTTAAAATGCCAAAATATTTGTGAGTGGTCAGCTTGAATTCTGAAGGTGTATGTGGTTGAAGGAGCCAACCTATCGATTCATCTTGCTGAAATTGAACAATCGGAGGAACTGAATAGCGAGCTTGAGGTGCCATGCAAGACAAATGTCAGAGATGATAGTTTACAGTGGACAAGGTTAAAATTCACTGATAAAGAACCTGTAAGTTCTGTGTACATTGCCAGCTTGTATTAATAAATATTATTAGAGAGAATATGAATAACGAATATGAATAACAGCAGGCAGCATAAGGATATGGACATGCTCATCCACAAATTTAATTACATTTAAATTATGAATACATGAAAAGAAGAGAATCTGATTTACTGCAATGAAGCAGAAGGAAAATAAAATAATCTTAAATTTTATTTAGACCTAAATAGAGATTATATGACAGCAACATATCGGAGTGCAATAAAGGACAGTGAATTAAGAACAACAATGAGCAAAAATACAGACTGAGTGCTCACAGAGAGTCTCTGAAAGCAATGTCTTCCTCTGTCCGTGTTTTCAGGCAAGAATGTCATGCAATTGTGCTTTGGAATTTGCAGGGACATAAAACCGTGTTGTTAAACATGGCATCTAAACAATTTTCCCAAAACTGACTCGTACATGGACTTGGACATACAATCCTCCAACCATCAGAACTCACACCATTGACCCTGCCTTCATGTGTAATATCTATGAACAAACATTTGTCATAAATGGCTGTTGAGGTGATCAATTCAGCTGAAACAAGTAAAGGTTTTGACTCAGAAACAGTATTCGATGCATCACAACTAGAGCTGCACAATTTATCGAAAAAAGATTGTGATCTCGATTCGACCCTACACACGATCTTAATTCAGCTTTTCAACCATTCAGCCAATTATATTTTTAAGATCAGGAGAGAAGCGTAAAGGTCGTCGCACAAGTCTTTACATTGATTTACATATATTTCTCAGCAACATGGACACCTTCAAATGGTGTTAAAAGTGTCACATACCTGTATTTATAAGGTATAATTCATCCAAAAATGTAATTTCTGCTTTAAAGTAATGATGTATTTGCGGCCACGAAAACACATGAGCTGAAGCACTGTTTATTAACTACCGAGAGGATGTGTGCGTGCACGCCAATGATGGCCACTTAGGAAAACAGAACCTGCAAAGGCTGTGAATAACAGGTGATAAAGTTGTAAATAGTTTGTTACACACACAGAGTGATCTTTTGGGAGCTGCGCGGGAAGTATGATTTGCATATATGTTTTTATTCCTCAAAGTGATGGCAGCCATGACATGAACCGAACTCAGCAGTAAAAAATGAAACATGCGTGCACGTCATTTAAATGATCATATTGCATTTTATGCAATTTATGATTAAGAAAAGCATTTGAAATGTTTTTTTCTTTCATAGCAAACACAAAATGTTGTGCAAAAAAATAAATGTTTGCAGCATCAGTATAACTCGCTAGCCTATATTATGTTAAATATAGTGCAAGAGGCAACCTGACAATCACAAATGTCTCAATTTACCAGTAAAAAAAAAAGTCTAATAATGTTGTCGATGACAAATAACAAGAATGTCTTAAACATAATAATTAAACTTATAAAATTTTTAAATAGTTGTAATCTGATGTCATAACTTTACTGTGCATTAACAACCAGGACATATTTAAAGTCTGTTCAAGTCCACCTTTATAAGTTTACAAGATTTAGTATTTTAACCAACAGTGGACCTATACACACAGGCCTGATATTATTGTTGTTTTACCATATGTTTGAGGAATAACAATAATAATAGCCTACTCATATAAACCGTATTTTACATCTGCAGGATCATGAGAAAAACATGATCTTGATTTTAAGTAAAAAAACAAAAACCATTCTCATTTTCGCCAGAATTGTGCAGCCCTAATCTCAACTTTACAGAAAGGATACTAAGAAACAGCTTAAACAACCAATGGAGAATAACCAAAACCAATTTTACAGTTGTTCCCTTGTTCTTCAGATTTCAATTAGCGTCACACAATGCAGACTGAAAGCGAGCATAAAAAAGATGACAAACATAGACTGTGGTTTCACAATGGAGGAAACCTCAAATCAGACCTCAGCGCAAGCATCTGCTTCCCGTTACATGGCAAATCAAAACCACTTTCAACAGATTTGCCGTCATTCCACAGCAATGCACATGTCAGAGTTAATCACACGGGCGTCTTTTGAGCAACGTTGGGTCTCTAACATCCCACATGAATGTGTCAGGATGTGTTGACTGCTCCGTGTGGTCAATGTGATAAGAGAGCTTCACCCTCAGAGGCACAACTCGAGAGAGATGACAGTATAATCTCCAGATGCCTTGTCCCTGCTTGTGCTTCTGCCAGGCCTCTTTGTCTAGTCTGAACTGGGCACGGCATGGGCACACATGTGCAGGGGAATGAGGAACGTGAGCACAGCCTTGAAGAAACAGGTGGCCCTAAGAGGAGGGATACAAGACCAAGAACAGCAGGGAACAAAGATAGCATGAAGAAACAGACAGTGGAAAGAAACAAGATATGGACTGCGAAAGATGGGTTCTGGATGTAAAATCCCATTCTTTTTTTTCCCAAAAGGCAAGGCAAGGCAAGTTTATTTATATAGCACAATCCATAGACAATAGTAATTCAAAGTGCTTTACATAAACATAAATAAAAGAAACATTTAAAAAATTAAAACAAAAAATAAAAATGAATTAAAAACATATTTAAAGGTGTCAATACAAGTTTTTTAAAAAAAAAAGAAAAGAAAAGAAAGACATAGTGCCATCTGTCAGACATTGATTTGAATGTACCTAATGTTGGAGCTGATTCCAGCAGGTGGATTCACCCTGTTTTTTTACTGAACTCTTGGAATATCTAATTTACTTGATGCTAATGATGTGAGTGGCCTGTTAGGTTTGTATTCAGTGAGCATATCTGTAATGTATTGAGGTCCTAAACTAAATTTCACAAAAGGAACTCATTGTGAATAATAATTGACAAACAAAAAAAAATCTACATTCAATAGTGGAATTCTTTGTGTGAACACTGTTGTGAAATTGCTCTGATAATAAAAATCTGAATCAAAACAGGTTGCAAAATTACAGAAATTATCAAAGCTGGAAACTTTTCATGAGAATTAATGGGAAAATATGGTAATAAAAAAGATATATAGAAATTAAAGGGAATAAACTAAGAATTTACGAAATTGCAGAAAAGCAAATAACAGAGAATTTAATTAAATATAGATAAAAATTTGTTAAAATGACCAGACTTAAATGCAATTTCAACTTAATTTGTACCCTGCGCATTCATCAATGTTGTGCACTCTGGTAGAAGGACAGGTATTTCCCAGTCTTCCAGGTTCTGCCTACCCCAGCAATAGTGAGCACATTCCTGCAATTGGGTCTAAATGTTACTTCCAATTAAGTAGGTTTTGATATTACATTAAACCAGATATACGAAATGGAAGATGTCACTGTTTCTGTATTTGTTTGCATGTTTTTCAGCTTGTATTAAAAAAATTGTTTTGTTTTCTAATTTGTATGTTGTAAATTTCTAATCAATACAAATTTCCATAAATTCCAGATAGTTTTCAAATGGGAAAGTTTCAGAAAATTATAGAATTTCCTGCAGAAACGTCCTGAAAAGTTTCCAGAAATGTAAATTTGTTTCTGCCGCTTTGCAACCATAATCAAAAACAAATCAAATCACTTTTATTGTCACATCATCAGCAGCACGTGTGCTATAATGAGCGAAAAGCAGTTCAAAAGTCTACAGTGAGAGAGAGAAAGAGAGAGACAGAAATGGAGTTTACTAGGGGTGTAACGATTTATCGTTGTACGATTTATTGCGATGCAAAAATGTCACAATATGCATCATGGCTTTATGACGATTTGATTACAATATGACGTCCGTTTTCTCTTATTAGTTGAGCTGTTTGCACGTGAGCTACGTTCCACCTGCTGTCGCACGTGAGTTCAGATTGCAGCAGCAGTAATGTTAGCAGACCAAGATGAGTGGAGTTGAAATAGAGGATGGCCCATCCTCTCAAAATCAGGCGTCTGGCAACATTGCGGTTGAACAGTCATTGCTTTAGACTCGTCCGCTTTTTGACACGCATACTGGGTCAAACATCCTAAGTTTAAAAGTCTTCACAGTGATTTACATACTTTGCACAGCGACAGGGATACCTCCTAATGGTGTTGAAAGAGTCACATACTGTATTTATAAGGTACAATTCACCCTAAAGTATCATTCTGTCTTCATATAATGTTTCCGCCGCAAAATCACACATGACATGAGCTGACCATGAGCTGTTACTACAGAGGACGGACTATGTTTGACGCGCGCGTATGGCAAGCCGTTTTAGCATTTAAACCTTTATTCTGACTATCCATAAATATACTTAGAGATATCTCTAATTATATTTTGACTAGCCATAATTATAATTCGACTAGTCAGAATGACAATTAGAGATATCTGCAATTACAATTGTACTAGTAAGAAATCAGATTGGAGATATCTGCAAATATATTATGACTAGTCATATTCCTCCATTGACTTCCATTGAAAAATATTTGCAGATATCTCTAAAGAGTTGACTAGTCACAATTGTAATTAGAGATATCTCTAAATGAATTTAATCAAATATGAATTAAATACCTTGAAATGTGGATTTTTTTTTGCACACAAAAAAAACGCAAGTGACCAAGCAAAGCCTTAAGCTCTTACTGTTAAATTCAATTGAATACAAAGCTTATTTTTTTGCACCTTTACTT